CGTGCGCCGAGACAGACGCTAGTGCCGACTCGATAAAAGACTAAAATACTCTAAAAACACACTTTGACTCTATAAAACATATGATGTAGGAAAGAAAACAAAGACTCAAAACCGATAAAAACACAACATATCAACTTCCCTCATCGATAAACAATAAACTAAATGAAAATTCCTACTTGGTAGGTTGAGATTATGGTTCTTACATTTCTTTTAAAATTATGTTAAATTGGTCTTGGAACTTATGCTGTATATACTTAATTTAGTGATAAGTCAATCCGAAACTCAAAGCAAAACCACGAACATAAGAGTAGTAGGGATTCCAATTATGAGAACAAAAATTCAAACATAGAGTACTAGGAAATTCAAATCTGAAATAAAAAATGCGAAAATAATCATGAAATGAGAAAGAAGTTCAAAATCCATATAGTGGTAACTAGAAACGTTCAATGAGAGCAGTTGCAACATAATCCTGAAAAAGATAAAGAAAACAATTATCAAAACAAAATATAAAAGTAGGGAATCTATAATTAAGTTTTAAACTAGTAGTCAGATCACGATCGCAAACCTTATATTGTTACATCACATGTTACTCGATTATGGCCTTCTTTACCACAACGACCGCACTTATGCTTTTTTGATAATTGTGACTGTTGTGATGCTTTTATCTTGTCTTCAGCTGATTTATATCTTCGTTTTCTTCGTCTACCAGGTTGTCTTCTTGTTGCAGGTGGTAAAACTTTTGCAGATTCAACAACCTCTGGGACGCGCCATTCATCTTCAGGAACACCTATTGGATTAATAGTTTCCTCATATAATGATCTCCAAGTGGCAGTGGTATATACATCATCAACATATGGGTATATACTAAATGACAAAACGTGGCACAGAACGGGGAAAAACAACGACAAATCTACCAAATTAGTCTAACTTTTTAACGTGGACTTAAAAGGAAGAGGTGAAAGAAGAAGACTTTGACGATTAGGGCTAAAAAACGATTTCACCCTCTAGATTTTCGTTTTTAATTTTTTTTTTCATCTGAGAATATTAGAATACGTATTCTAACCATCCTCAGATCGTAATCTAAACAATAAAAACGTAATATTTAATAAATATTCAGTTTCTTTTTTGAAAGATTCACTTTCTATATTTAAGAATTCTAAAACTTTTCAGAAATTGAAATCTATATTATATTAGAAAACGGATTCTAAAATAATTATATGTTTTCTAACGTTTTTAGAACATGTTATAAATCGTAGAATGGATTTTCTGACTAAAATTAGAACATGAAGAAAAGCGTAGAATACATGTTCTAAGGATTTTTGGAAATTGTATTCCGGTGTTCTGAATTTGTTAGAACATGTACCTAATCTAAAAGTCGTAGAACATGTACAAAAATTTAAAATACAAACTCTGATTTTCGTAGAACATGTACAAAAGTTTAGAATATAAATTCTGATATTCGTAGAACGTTAGAAAATGTATTCTAATAATTTTAGACGAAACTTTATCCATCAAAAAATCAACTTTTTTTCAACTAAATCATCAATTTTTTTTTTTCAAATCATCTATAATCTTGTATATCTACATGTTTTTTTGGTAAAATCATTCAAAAAATGTTTAAAATAGAGAGTAAGGGTATTTTAGTCCAAAGTGACATTCTAAAAAAAAAAGTGTATATGGTCAAACTTTTTTTTAAAGCTCCTATATTTCTAATTTTCCCAATTAATTATTTGAATTTCTTCTTATGCCCCACTATTTTTACGAAATCGGAGTCTTACAACGTTCATTAAAATAACAATTTCAACTATTCAAGGATCTTAAGAAATTATAGCCAAACAAATGTCGACAAAATTTGATAACCAATACATTGTTAATTTTAAAACCTTATAAGATTTTAAACTTTACAAAAAGTCTATAACATGTGTTCATTTTTCTAATATGCTCTATAAAAATTTATAAGTTCATATTTTTAATATTTTTGAAAATGTGTAAAAGAAAAGTGGTAATTTATAAATAGACAAAGTTAATGGTACTTTGAAATTCTCCCAAAACATTATATTATAATAGTTTAATAAAAAATAGTATAATCGTCCAAAATGTTAAAAATCACTATTATTTAAAAATGTTTATCATTTACTTAATTGCTAGTCAAAGTTTTGTCATTTTATGCATACTATTTCCTTCACTAGAATATAATATAGTATATACATAGACAAAAATATTTTTTTGTCATTTTCTATATTTGACTATTCAATACCTCTTGTAATTTTTTTACATTAATTGTAAATTTGTAATACAGCCATAATATTTAAAAGGAAACTGTCAATTATAAAAACTTATATACTATAATATAAACTATAGTATTGAATTGAATATTTTTAAAATAAAATATTAAATTTACGAGAAAATAAAAATAAAATCTCTCTCGCCTAGCTCTCAACCACAACTTATTTTTCATGTCAGTATCCACCAACACATATATACGGCATATAAAGATTTTAATAAACCTTGGAACTATCTATATCTATACAGACACACACGTCTATATATATATAAACACTCATATACTACTTTCACTGTATCATTCTTGTTTTCTCTAAATTTTTCAAATCTTTAGAATTTTCAAGTTTTTATAAATGTTAACTGTTTCTCCGGCTCCACTCATCGGAAACAACTCGAAGGATACTTACATGGCGGCAGATTTCGCAGATTTTACGACGGAAGGCTTGCCGGACTTTACGACGGTCGGAGATTTCTCCGATGATCTTCTTGATGGAATCGATTACTACGACGATCTTTTCATTGGTTTCGATGGAGACGATGTTTTGCCGGATTTGGAGATTGATACGGAGATTCTTGGGGAATATTCCGGTAGCGGAAGAGATGAGGAACAAGAAATGGAGGGTAACACTTCGACGGCGTCGGAGACGTCGGAGAGAGACGGTGGTCATGGGTGTAAGCAAGAGGGTGGCGGTGGTGGTGACGGTGGTGTTAGGGACAAAACGGTGCGTAGAGGCAAACGTAAAGGAAAGAAAAGTAAAGATTGTTTATCCAATGATAACGATATTAAGAAAAAACCCAAGGTGTGTTTATTTCTTAATTATCCATGTTAGATAATTTTAATTTTCGTTTCTTCAAAAGTAAAAATCCCATTAAAAATTCACCAACCTTGATCTCATTAAAAATACACAAACTTCTAGTGTTCTTGAAAAACTATATATAAAAGTAGTGATGATTTCAGTGTATTTTTATATACACAATTCTTTTTATTTTTAATAACCAGAGTAGATCTAGAACAAAAACCAAGTTTTGTGTATTAGGAGTACTTTAGGACTATATTTTGTGTGTTTATTTGGACTACACAATTGTTTCATAAGAAAACCATATAACAATTGGTGATTTTCAATGAAAATATTCCTTTTTCCATTAATTGATTGATTTTATATGTTGTTCCGGCAAATCAGGTGGATTGGACGCCGGAGTTACACCGGAAATTTGTACAAGCGGTGGAGCAATTAGGGGTAGACAAGGCGGTGCCGTCTCGGATTTTGGAAATTATGAACGTTAAATCTCTCACTCGTCACAACGTTGCTAGCCATCTTCAGGTACGATTTTAAGCTTTTAGATGTAGTAATTAAGATTACAATGATAGACTAAAAATCTACAAATTAAACTAATTTTTACAGGAAGTAATTAACATCTACAACCCTATACAACTCTTTTATATTATTATTTTTCCTTTAAAGACAAGTAAAATACAAACCAACTCAGATTTGTGTAATAAGATTAATTTGTGTTGTGTTCTTCTTGTAATGACAGAAATATAGGTCACATCGGAAACATCTACTAGCGCGTGAAGCAGAAGCTGCCAGCTGGAATCTCCGGCGACATGCGACGGTGGCAGTGGCCGGAGTAGGAGGAGGTGGGAAGAAGCCATGGACGGCTCCTGCCTTAGGCTATCCACCACACGTGGCACCAATGCATCATGGCCACTTCAGGCCTTTGCACGTGTGGGGTCATCCTACGTGGCCTAAACACAAGCCTAATACTCCTGCGTCTGCTCATCGGACGTATCCGATTCCGTTAGTTGCGGCGGCTCCGGCATCTTGGCCAGGTCATCCGCCGTACTGGCACCAACAACCACTATATCCACAGGTAATAATAATTCATTTGTTAATGTTTATTAATTTCCATTAGTTGTGAGGTTAAATCATGAAAAATAATTGAAATGACATAACTAAATCAGCTTTGTTGAACAATCATGTAACGGCAAAAAGCTAGTATTTGTACATTATTGGCTTTTAACCCATGCAACATATATAATGGAATCATTGAACTAATCGAGGTTTTGTAATATAGCTGTTGACAAAAAAAATCGAGGTTTTGTGTTATAACGCGATTAGTAAAAAAAAAAAAAGCTTGCAAGAAGCAAGATCATGAATCATTTTTATGTAGATTACTAATCAGATTTAGAGCTATGAATTATGTATGAATTTTAAGAAAACATACTATATTTTATAGTGTTAAAATTACGATTCTGTGTGTATATATGTGTAGGGATATGGTATCGCATCATCGAATCATTCAAGCATCGGTGTTCCCACAAGACAATTAGGACCCACTAATCCTCCCATCGACATTCATCCCGTGAGTGCACCTTTTTTGGTTTCAATTTTGTTTATTAGATTATGATTATGACATAATACGAAAAAAAATTCGAATAACTTTGTTCAGTTTGATAACATTGTTTCATTACTTGACGGTTGCAGTCGAATGAGAGCATAGACGCGGCTATTGGAGACGTGATAACAAAGCCGTGGCTGCCGCTTCCTTTGGGTCTGAAACCGCCGTCAGTTGATGGTGTCATGACGGAGTTACAACGTCAGGGAGTTTCTAATGTTCCTCCTCTCCCTTGAGAAAACAAATCTCCAAAATTTGCCGAAATCTCGATTTTTAACTTCATTTTTTTTTGTATCTTCTAAGTATTTTTGCAAGGAAAAATACTATAAATCCTTGTTGCTTGATCATATGTATTTCTCTCTATGAGTGCATGTATCGAAGTTAAGCAACTTTGTATTATTAGTTGTCCTGTTACATCGTTAATCTTCGATAGCAGAATCTGTAATTGTTATTAACTTTTGACTCCAGAAGCATCATGCAAAATGAGTAAATGCTAAACAAACTAAAGAACTAAATGCAACAATTTGTTTTTGGTTAAAAATGCTTAACATTTAAAACATTATTTGATCCAATCAACAATTTATAGTTTTATAATTGAAAACTAGTGATGTGATGTGTGTTTTTATTAATGGCATATTTTGTTTTTTAAAGCCAGTTTTCATAGCTATGGATTGTGACTATTTATAATATAATAGAAGCCAAAGAATTTTTCAAGCTTAAGTAAAAACCATAATATATATGTATAGAATTTCTTACAGATATGTTCAATGTATCCTGGCATAAATATATATATATATATATATATTCCAACTTATATTTGGAGTTTGGACATACTTGGTGCATATTGTTTTCATTTGTTCTATGTAAAAAGCCGAACTCTCATGAGTCTGATTGGTGATACCATGGCCGCTCCTTAGATTTTAGTGGCCTAAAGCATACATATATATTGTGATCTTCTATATAAAAACTAATGTTAAAAATTTGTCATTAAAGTACTCAAATGTATTTAAAAAAACATTAAAGGAAGTTCTTGAATAATGTAAAAGAATCTAAAAATCGACTTTTCTAACTTTTATCGCAGCAAATTCATTGATTAACTTCTCATAGTCGAGTGCTTCGATCATATCTCTCTCGATGGACATCATTGCTAATCCATTCAACTTGTCTTGTGACATCGTAGATAATTCTTTATCATCTTTAACTTTGAAAAACTTATTTTCGTAAAGGCAACTGAAACTGAAATCGTCAACAATATAAGGTAAGCAGTCCCTGTATTTGGATAACAACCCTCCATTCTTTTTAAGAAATCTAACACCTCTATAGCCCTTTTAATCTCGTTTGGTAAAACTCCAAGAATAAATCTTTTCCATCCACATCAATTCTTGGTGTAGGATTTCTAAAATTCAGTTTTGATTGAAGAAGTTAAGAATATTATAATACTTGTTAAATCAAATATTTGGAGATTTCCTTGTTAAAAAAAGAGGAATCGAACTATAAATTAAAAAAAATTCTCGATTACTAAATATATAACCAAAGCTTGTAAACATGTGGCTCTAAACAAAATTCTTATATTTGGTGGCGTAAAGCAGATGTTTTGACTGCTTTGTGGTAGACCGGGTTTGGGTGACACAAAACGGTAAAAATAAATTAGAGAAAAGAAAGAGTAGTGAACATACCGGGATAGTTAAAATAAAAAATAAAAAATAACGGTACAAAAAATTACAAAGGTATTGTTTTTTGTCTTGCTAGTTATCACTTTTGTGATCGGAAACTATTAAAGCATTAAACGACCGACCCTACTATTCGGGTTACTAATCAAAAGCCAAAGTGTTATGCATAATAACATTTACTTTGGGGTAAGAAGTTGAAATAACTCTTGAATGTAGAAGACATAGTGACATGTTTATGTGTTGTGTTTGATAAGCATTGTGCAGAAGCAGCTCAAATACGTTTTATATATGTACATACAACTCTTGAACGATATTGAATTTATATATGAATAAGTTTGCTATACATGGAACATGGTTGTTCTATCTCAAGAAAATCTAGATTGACAAATTTGATATACTTAAGAAAATGACTAAATTTAAGAATACATAGCAAAGAAGATGAGCCAGATGAATACAATGTTATTAGTGAGTACTATGGTGGGCCTTCATTTGACTACTTCGGCCCAAAAGACTAGTAATGATATTTCATATCCTATTTCCGTTGATCAAGGAGCAAAAGTTACATTAGGACATTGATATTTGAATGAAACCAACTTAAGAAAGTTTGTAATGAAAATCTAGAAAACCCAAACTGAGTTCATACTCATCAGTCTAAAGATTACATTGATCCTTCAAGAACATTGGTAGCTGCTAAGTTTGTTTTAAGATCTTCTCTTCCGATCATCTTCACCATCATCATCGGAGTCACCGCTCTCACGGAAACGTGGGTTCTTCTCCTGTTACAATCACCAAAATTCCATAGCAGACAATTTTTTAGAATCAGATACTCAAAAAGTTTGTTACGGAAAAAAGAAGTTGTGTTAATTACCGGTCTCATATCATGATCAGTGTCTCTCCTAGACTCATGATCTGTGTTTCTTCTTGAGTTATCACGGCCATAGCGATCGTCGTCTCTTTGTCGTTTCCGATGATAGTCTGCAAAAAATTAAAAACAGTGAATTGTGCTATTGTGGCTGAGGATTATACTATTACTACGCATTATGCTCATTTGGGAAAAATATACCTCCTCCTCTTCCATGGCGATTTGGTCCTCCTTGACCATAGTTTCCACCACCACGCCTTCCATTTCCATCTGTGTGATTAACATATGCAAAAAGCATTTAGGAACTTAATGTTATGCAGGCTCTATTTACGGGTTCTCGCATGATTTGACTTGAATAAGCTACTTAACACTAGGATTCATAACTTGTTTCACATTTTCACTATCTATTCCAAAGGGAACCGGAAAAACAATAAGTGGATGCTTCGCAAGGTCTTCTTCTGAGCACTACAATTCTAAGTAAAGTAACTTCAGACTCACATTCATGGTGCTTTTAGTTCACCATTTGTCCACAGTATATTGCAAAATCATGCAACCATGAATAAGATAATGTAAATTTGGTAGAAAGTTTTGAAAAGGACATACAATTTGATGGCGCAGCTTGAGGATAGGCTCCCAATGAGCCAGTACCGTAATCCACGAGCTGCCTTTGTGCTTCAAGTTCCTTCTGAACTAATTTTCCATAACCACCTCTAGGTAATCAATGAGTTAAAGAAACAACACAAGGATGTGCGGCAAATTCATAACCGAGAAATCAAGATAGTCAATCTTTACTACCACAAAACAGGTTTACTAAACAAGAACAACAGAGAGCGCTATAATTCGGACTGAAAGGATATCAGGATCGTAATCTGTACGGTATTCATCTCGAACCTGTATGAAAATTAGAAAACCATGATTAACATCATAATTTTTATACAAAAGTCAGGAAATTACAGAGAGGATGGAACTGATGAATACCTGGCCACCGCTTCTACCACGTCCCCATTGTCTTCCTTCTTGGAACCCCCAATCAAAATCCACACGAATAGGCCGATCATCCAGAATAGTCCCACTTATATACTTGACTGCATCTTCAGTATCCTCTCTCGAGTAGAACCTGATAAACAACACACAACAGCAAAACTCAGCAACCACCATCATAAAACTTACATATAAAACTGTTGAAAAATGAAAACTTACAAGACGAAACAAAAGCCACAAGGTGTTTTAGTGTTCTTATCCAAACCCATGATGATCTTTTTGATTTCTCCTGCTCTAGAGAAAAGCTCGTAAAGCTGTTCTTCAGTAGTGTAGAAAGACACATTGCCAATGTAAACCGTTGTAGATGCCCTTAACGCCTCATCAAACTCCTCTTGTGTTCCAGAAAATCTTCTATCTCGATAAGCCGAGAGCTTCGCTTGCTCCTGACAATCAAAAACCCCAAATACGAAAAATTTAACTTAACCCAATCGCTAAAGATGCAAAACAAATCCCTAGAAAGCCTAAATGCACGAAGAAACTAGTTTCAGCACAAAGCAAATCAAATCGTAAGACCAAACCCTAGACAGCCCAGATACTAAATTCACTAGAAATACTAACGAATCTCGAGTTTCTATGATACGAAAAGCAAAACCCAGAAATGGGTTCAGACAAAAATCTAAACTTTATGTTACCTTGAACAAAGAAGCCATCGCTTCACGGTGAAAAGAAGTGAATCTGCGATGAGGAGAGAGGATTGTGATAGCTTAAATTAGGTTATGCAGAGTGAAAAAAGAAGATGAGGACAAAATTGAGACGGAGAGACACTTACTCGTCTTCCTCCAAAACCCTAATTTCTAAAGGAGAAGCAGAACAACTGATAGAAGAAGCAAGGACACTCCGGCGACTCTCGAGTATCCGGTTTCATGGCCCACGTTACGAAACCTTACAATTAATTCATAAATATTATTGTTGAAATTTGGTATTTATTAAATTTATTAGTTGAAAAAAAAAAAAAAATTTGCATCTAAAATTGGGAAATCAAAAATCAATTCCGGTTTGGTTTCGGTTTATTTGTTTGTTTATATAAAGTTTGAAGTCTAAACATAAAAACTATAGTATAACTTCTATAAATTAATATTTCGGTAAACCAATACATTCGGTTCTAAATTTAGTTTTCTAGTCACCTAGAATATCGATAAATTAATTAAATTAATAAAATATCTTAGTCACATCTGTATTAATTTATAGATATTTTAGTGTATTTGTAATTCTGTTTAGTTTCGATGGTTTAAATAATATTCTAGTTTGGTTGATGGTATGGATTTCAGTTTAGCTTTAGTCAAACCTTAACTTTTATATTATAAAATTTTAAGCTTATATTATACTCTTTTATTTATTTCAAAAATTTCTATAGCTAAAATTTTTATTTTAATAAGTTCCGATTATCCATTACAAAAATATAAAATTGTAGTTTGGTTTGGTGAACAATGATTTTTTCGGTTACTGTTTTTGTTTGTTGTATCTCTCTATATATATATATATTGACAACAATGCTACCTCTAACTTAAAACACATTTAAATAAATCTATGTAGGTTTAGGAACATTTTCAAGTGAAAATATAGGAATAGATGAATCTACTCTTTATGAAAAAATACCTCTTTGGCCACTACAAAAGAATATCATCGAATAAAATTCCAAATGAGCAAATATATATATATTTTTTTGCTAACGCTGATGCTCAAAATAATCAAAGCAAAAAATGTAATATAAAACCACCGAAGAACCATAATGTGAAATATGCAAACGTAAAAGTACAAATATAGGGTCCGAATGGTAACAGCGTAATTGATTGTGCGGAAAAACGGTTTTATAGTGCGGTACGGTTCAACTGCGGTACGTGCGGGAGAAACGTATTTGCGGAACTAGTGCGGTTAGTATAAAATAAGCGGTACAGAATAAAGTTTGATTGGTGAAAAAACTATTTGCGGTACATAATAAAATATTTGAATGGTAAAAACTATATTATTATATTACTATAGTTATAAATATTAAAAAAAATTATTCTTAATGAAATAATATTTTCATCTACCTATTTATGACTTTTAAAAACAAAAATTTATTTTGAATTAATAAAGTTAATTTTATCCATTAAAATAGTGAAGACATACATCAATTTTTTAATAAATTTGTTGTAACTAAAACTATAGTTTATATAAAAAAAACTTTTGAGTATAGAAAGAATATATACTATACATTATATATGAAATAATTTAATCATATTTTTTATGAATCTGTTTTTTTTTCCTAAAACTGATTTATAACTTGTGAAAAATAGTGAAATAAGTTTAAAAAAAAAATCTCCAAAAAGGATACTTTAAAAAATAAATCACTTATGAATATTATTAACAACTTAAATTAGAAAACACGTTTAATATAGTTATTGTTAAAATTTATTGCTGGTTATTAAACTTTCTTTTATTAATCAAAATTAAATAAAAAGAAAAATCAATATTTTGCTTAACTGTTGCGGAATTCGAAAAAACCGCTGGGTAATTGGTAGTTGGACAAATATTTGCGGTCTACTGGTTAATATCCTCTCTCAAAAAACGCAAATAAATTTTTATTTTTATTTTGGAAAAAACGCAAATTACAAAAATAGCTTGTGATTGGTGACATTAAACGTTTTTCAAAAAAACTACTTGAAATCCGCGATCTCAATTGTCTCCAATCAAGGCCATAATCTTTTGGCTTTGAGTAACTTGTCTTACTTGTAATAAACCAATAAAAATAATTATTTTCAAATCTACTTTGCTCTTGAAACAATATTTTTTTGTTACATTGTGACTACCAGTCAGATCATCACTTTGGCGAAAAATTTTCTTCCTTCCTCTCCATTAAAGGATTTGGAGTCTCTCGCGACACTCTGAGTTGAAGTAACATTTATCCATCGTATATATAGTGAAGTTTCTCTTAAAAACGACATAAATTTTATCTTGGATGCAAGGAATTGAGGATATGCAACACAAACGGAAAACTTTCAGAGTATATTGGTCATATGAAATTTTTACTGTAACTCAGAAAAATTTATTGAGAAAAAAAGATAAACTGGATTTTTCCCATGAATCAAATATACTTGAATTCTCTACCTTTGATATCACCGAAAACTTTGGAAAAATAAGAAATCGTCAGCGTTTAAAATTGAAATCAAATAATTTGTTTTTTTTTTTGTCAACATCAAATAATTTGTTTTACAAAGTGAAAACTGAATATAATTGAAGATTTAGTTTTTCCGGCAGAGTTGATGGAAAACTCAAAAAAGGTTGGAGATGTTGAAAAAGTTAATGGCATAGAAATAATAGCATTTTCGTTATTATTTTGAGAAAGGAGTACATTGTATATGACTTGTATAATTTCTACAATTTTGCCTATGAAGATATCTTCAAAGTAATGTTTAAAAACATACTCTTTTTAACAAGTCTTCCATATGTTTATATCAAATATTGTCTAGGATATCACTATTAAATTTTTTTTTAAAAAGTAACAAAACACTATAAGCAAAACATAAGCAAACTCTAAATGAACAAATAACATGAGCAATCAATATTGAATGACTTGGTTATCTTATCATTTGAAAGAGAATTGATTAGAAAAACAAAGCTAATTTGAAAGCTTGGTTAAAGATTTTTGTTAAGAAAATAAGGAAGAAAATCTTTTAGATCTAATATTTTGTTTGCAATTTTGGTTTTTTTTGTTCTATGACAATGGTATTTATTTTTGTACACGTTTTTTATTGAATTAGAAAATTTATTTTTAACCGTTTCCGATACTCGCTAATGTTCGCACTGCTCTAGATAACCTCATCATGTCATTTAACATGTCGATCTTCGGGTTCAGCAAAATAACTGCTATTCCAGCCTTAATCAAATCAACAACATTTGCACCAACTATAAAACCGTGATTTTTTCTAAAGCAATATGTGTGAACAATATCTTAAAACTTGAAAAACCATATGAATTGAATTGGAGAATTAGGCTAGAGACAGTACCGAAATTTCCACATGGACATCAAAATATAACTAATTGTAACACATTGCAGAGATGGCCATGCTTAAACATAACTCATGACTCTAAATCCAATTCTAAGATCAAACTCGAAACCTAATATAAAGATACAAACACCCATCTCGGAAAAGTCATTGTACATTATATCATAGAGTGACATAGACCAGAGACTGGCCTAGTGAGACACGGTCAATTTCATGCACATGACTAACTAGCAAGTATAAAATTTGAGGATTGAAGTAATCCATGATCCATGAGGCCTCTTAAACCTCGCTAGATGTTAGACTATTAGTATTTCTCTTTGGAAGACTCATTCTCTATGGTGTAGTAGTTCTCTTTGGTGCATTTCTAATATGTTGGGTATGTTTGTTTCATATGGGCCTATTTAGTTTGATTGAGAAACTGTGCCAAATATTGATGAGAAGCCCATACAAGATCCAAGTTGTGTATACTACAAAAAAAAAAAGAGGATAACTGACATAAACATAACTACATAAGGATTTCATTATAAAAGTAAGCTTATGGTTGAAGGAAAACCTAACCTATTCTAGGTTAAGGGTGCTTCCATGTCACTTTGATGAGAGACAAATGATTGAGCTTTCCGAATCATGTAGGTTCCATGGATGTATATACAACGACGATGAAGGAGAACGTAACCTAGTGTTCAAGCTGCCTCCATGGCAGTCGGATAAGGGGATATGTTCCATGTGAGATCACGCGAATGAGAGCTTAAGGACAAGAAAAATAGCTAAGGAACCTTTCTTAGGAGGCATAGAAATAGTTATTTCTCGATGTGTAAGTGGTTAGTTTAGGTGACTCATTTTTGAGTTAAAGCTCTGGTTAAATTTGTGTCATGCTTTATGTTTTGCTATTGATCGTGAACTGAGATGGAGTAGGGACGTAACATAATCTACTATGGTGTTCCTTCAATCACTTTTTACTTTTTAACAAAATTTGAATTTAGTAGAGAATAACGTTCGATTAACATGGAAGCAAGGAGGCTGCAAAATGTTACTTTCATTTAGAATATCGCTTCATACTTTGCTCATTGTGCGCAATGAAGAGAATGGAGCATGTTTAGGTATTTTTTTTTGTTTTAACGAAAACAGGCAAATTATAATAGAAGATTATTGGCTCTCTATTGAATAAAATTAATAGTACATTGCCTAACACAATGTTTAAGGCACTGCTTGAAGCAAAGACTAAGAACTTAATCAACTCTTAGTCTCTAACATACGTATATCATCTACCTTATGCCCAAACTGAATCGACGATTTTAAAAAATTTATCTGTTGTCCTGAGACCGCTTCATACTTTTGTAAAATCTCCAAAATTACCTCACACTGGTCCTTATTAGCCTTGCAAAAAAATAAGCTATCGTCCGCGAATAGCAGATGTGAAACCGCAGGGCTTGCGTTTGCTACTTTGATTCCTGTAATTAATTTTTTCCGTTCTGCTTTCTGCATATTTGCAATTAGCATTTCCGTGCAGAGGATGAATAAGTAAGGCGAGAGCGGATCTTTTTGTCTTAATCCCCTCTCAGGTACAATTAGACCTCTTGGTTGTCCATTTAGGAGAACTCTATATTGGACTGTTGTAATACACCACATTATCCAGTTAATCCATTTTTCACAGAAGCCCAATTTTCTCAAAACTTTCTCGATGAAAATCCATTCGATCCTGTCGTAAGCCTTACTCATATCCGTTTTAATAGCCATGAACTTTTCCTTACAAGAGGGATTAGTTCTCAGCCCATGAAACATCTCTTGTGCGATGAGTATATTATCTGAAATCAACCGCCCTTCTACAAAGGCAGATTGTGTTTCCGATATCAATGTTGGTAGAAACGTTTTAAGTCTCTGACAGAGAATTTTCGATATAATTTTATATCCAATATTACAAAGACTTATAGACCGTAATTCCGTCATCCGCGTCGGTTTTTCCAGATATAGTATATAGATAAGGGAGAAAACAGAAAATTTATTTGTTTCTTAATATTATTTGTTTTCTTAATATGTAGTCCCATTACTCTAAATATTAATGTGAATTTCCCAAGCCTTATTTTAGAGTAAATGGTGAGAGAGCGTGGTAGTCACGTAGATTAATGAAGGAGCGTGAGATAGAACAATCAAATTACGCAAAGTCACGCCGCAGTAACGGGACGTTAAGGCAAAAAGCCGTCATAAAAACATTAAAACCTCTCACATTGTCTGTTTTTGGGCGGCGCTTTTCAGTCAAACCCTCGTTGACCGTCTCTCTCTATAAACCAAAAACCTTTTCCTTTATAAATTAAAACCAAACAACGTCACTTCTTTATTCTCTAAACGAGAATATTTTTTTGGTTAGCAATGGCTCCAAAACGAGTGAATGGTACTAACACCGCTGTGAGTGAAGGCGGCGGAAGGAAGACGACGGAGATGATGAGGAAGGAAGTGCACTTTAGAGGTGTGAGGAAGCGTCCATGGGGTAGATACGCGGCGGAGATCCGTGACCCGGGAAAGAAAACCCGAGTTTGGCTCGGAACGTTTGACACGGCGGAGGAAGCTGCTAGAGCTTACGACACCGCCGCAAGAGAGTTTCGTGGCTCCAAAGCAAAGACTAATTTCCCTCTTCCCGGCGAGTCTACTGCCATCAGCGACGGTGCCGGAGGGAACGATTCTTACGTCAACCGTTCGGCGTTGACGGCGGCGCGTGAGATGACGCGTCAGAGATTTCCGTTTGCATGTCACCGGGAGCGTAAAGTCGTCGGTGGTTATGCTGCTGCCGGTTTTTTCTTCGATCCGTCAAGAGCTGCTGCGTTAAGAGCGGAGCTTTCTCGGGTTTATCCGGTTCGGTTTGATCCGGTTAATATCGAGTTGAGTATTGGTATTCGAGAAACCGTAAAAGTTGAACCGAGAAGAGAACTAAACCTGGATCTTAACCTAGCTCCACCGGTGGTGGACGTTTAGATTTTTTTCTTTTTTCTTAATTTGTTTTTTTTACATTGCCGGAAAAATATTTAATGTTTTTTTCTTCTGCATTTTTTTTAGTAGATGAGAAAAAAGGAAAATCTCCTATATTATTGGCTATGTAATTTTAGAAATTTTTAGAAATCTCTTGTTTAATTAGTTTCCATATGGTTCCTCTATGTAGATGTAATTAGTATTAATCAAATATCTCCTTTTGATCTGTTTATTAAACCTTTGATTTCCGTTTCAAAAATGTCTTAAAATGACATGATTAGATTGGTGGTTGATGTATCAAAATAGGTAGTAGATATAACTCCATTAAATGGCTGTGGAATGTGAAACCAAGAAACATCCAACATTATATCGTCTGTCAACCTCAAACAAAATTAGTATAGGGGAGTACAAAAAAACGGATCATCATGGGTTTGATTGGTGATCAAAGATAAAATATTACGAGTTGTACAGTTTTTATTTTTACCAATCACAAAAACTTTATCAAAATCGTAACTAAAAGTTTTATTCTTAACTTTTTTTGTACAGTTTTTTTACACAGCTTACACTATTCCAGTAAACTTTACGACTCTAACTAACCCTATAATACAAAAAGTAGTTATCTTTTTTAATTATATCGAATTATGGTTTCATGGGAGGTTTTGGTTTATTAATTAAGACGTGTAAGATGAATTGTAAAAAGGTTAAAAGAAAGTTCAAAATGTAAAAAAACTGTAGTAAATTAGTATGAGTTTTTAAAAATACTAATGAATTTGAAAAGTAGAGTGGTAGCATCATGAGTCCAATCTTCGAGTATCGTGTAGATGGGATGATGGCATGAGTGTCAGGTGGGAGGCACGTGTGCTTTCGCCGTCCACCAGGTGCGTCTTCTCATCTGTTTTGTTCCCACTTTAAATTTTTTAAACCACAAATATACTTTTGGCTTAGACTTCCAAGAATTATCGTTTTCTTCCGGTTTAGTTTTTAGAGATTTTTTGGTCGTCTGTCGGTTTAGTTTCTTTTGTTTGGACGTTGTATTTCATATTGGTTCCTCAACAAATTTCAATAATAAAATTTCAGATGACAAAAAATGGTAGGGCAGTTTTTTATTTTTTTTTTGTCATCCGAAACTAAATAGAGATCAAAATAATCATTTCTGAAGATAGGACGGTTTCTTCGGTTCGATGTCATTATCTATAAATTGTTTTATTACTTTCATAGGCATTGTAGATTAATGAATTTAACATTTTAAATGAAAATATAATTTTTTTGGATTAGAGATTTACGTATTACATGAAAATTAATTTACAAGGTTTATGTGTATTACATGAAATATGTTAAAGAATAAAGACTATCGAATCTAGATGTTTGTCAGTATACAAATTACTTTGGGACGAAAATACGAAACACCAAAAACGGTTAACAACTATCAGGCTTATAGTCCTATAATATATATAGTAATTTTTGAATGGATAAACCTATTTTCTTTGCGTGGAGATTCACTTTTTAATTTGCCACAAATACACAGTATAAAGAAGTGGTAGACTAATAGAAAAAGGAACAGATTCTTTTGAATTTGGATTCAAACATTTTTGATTTTGGAGGAGTATTTTTTAAATTGAAATGGATAAAAACTGATTTTTAGAGATTATAGAATCAAAATTTGGAAATTCCACGGGTTAACAAAAAATAAAAAAGATAACAATATTTAAAGCCCAAAACATCTTGTTAAAAAAACAAAGGACATAAAACAAGCACATTTGTATATTTCTTTGCGTGGAGATTCACTTTTTAATTTGCCACAAATACACAGTATACACGAATATATCACTGGATTTGAAAAACGCATAAAAACATTAGGCAAATATTCCTTTTATCACAAAGATTTGTTTTGTGTACCTACATATTTGATTATTTGATAATATATTTGACGGTGTTAACTGTTAACTATCAAAGTGAAATATGTGTATATTTTTCTCCAACATTTCGTTGTAAACAAAGCCTTAAAGTCAATCCCATCTTTATTTCATGAACTTTTTCTTATAAGATTGTTCCGTGTTTAAAAAATCGCTAGGCGCTAGTCGGCCGGTGAGGGTGCGCCTAGCGCCTAGCAAGAAAATCGGAGATTACACGGAGATTAATCGGGGATTAGTTTTAGGGCTATTTAATGTTTTAAAAACATATTAATCCATTATAATTAAGAAATTTATATAATATTATTTTAAAAATTGTATTAAACACATGAAAACAAGATTTTAATTTCAAATTTATGATTTTTATACAAATTACGAACATAAGTAGGACGTTTTAAAAAAAAAAAAAAAAAATTGGGCTAGGCGGCCGCCTAGGCGGACGAAAAATCGGATCTCCGATTTTTTCTTACCGATTTGGACAAAATCGCCGCAGTGCTCCTCCGATCAGCGCCTAGACGGCCACCTAGGCGGCTAGGCGGCCGATTTTTAAAACAAGGAGAATGTTTTCTGTGTAAGGAAAGACCCAAACAAAAATCTATTTATTGGTTGCATCGGATAAGTCGCCGAAGTGGGTGTGGGACTCAAATTAAGGTCCGTTAAGTAGATAGATATGTGTGGCTCCTACATAATTAGTCGGCAGATTCTGCGGAGCATATTTTAGCCTTTCTTCTCACGCACGCACTTCAGTATCGCGTGTCACTCACCGACCAAACATAGATCACGTGATCTCACCATTTCCCGCATACGTTCATACGGTTTAGCCCATTGCCTGAGCCTTGCCTGCGTCGTCGTTGTCTTAATGTTTTGATTTTAGTATTTATTAGGTAGCTTATCAAGTCAAGGCCATTATGTAATTCACCGACGGTTACAAACTTACGACATTTAACAACAATCTTAAGCATTCACACTTGACTTCTTTTTGGCACTACTCAACTTGTAATTGACTTTTAGTATTCGACAATGCATGGACAGAAAAAAGAAAATGAAGTGAATTCAAATTTTTAACAATAAACATATAACGTTGTAGGAACTAGATTTTTACAATGAGAAAAAACTGATAATTGCAAAAACAATAACAAATTTTATATTGAAAGTTTCAAACAAAATACCGAATTATTAAAATCGAAAGGGTCGGATTTGCAAAGACGAGACAAATCTATTTCTTTTTTTAGTTATAAAATCGTCATATCTTTTTTCAATGAAAACCTTTATTAAAAATAACTTGATCAACATACAAATGTTCAGAAATCCATACTGGTGGATCCAAGCAACAAAAAAAAAAAAAAAGAGTCAATACAGCTTTTTTTTAGCTAAATTATGTGCTACTTCGCTACAAGATCGTTTCGTATTACGAAAACTGACGTCCTGAAAACGTGATGCCCAAAAGATGATATTCTGGAATAAACCAGTGATAGAGACGTCCACAACTAGACCATTAACGACGTCAATGAAGATTTTGATGTCTCCCTCGAAACTGACCGACGTGTGTCAACGATTATTGTTGCATTGGCAAAAGTAAACCCTCAGCTTCAGCTTCCAACGAAGTGTATGTAGTGCGTCCTTTTGCCACTACAAGAGTATTTCGAATGATCCAACCTCCCATGACCTAATGTGTAATAGGATCAAAACCGGCGTCAAAGTTACGTGTGACATGATGATTAATTGATCGTGTCCAGTAGCTCCGCTCTGATGGAGGAGAGAAATAATTTTCAATTGCACCGGTGGTGTGGATCTATTCTGCAATATCTGTTTGAGCCTGAAGAAAAACATTTAAATGGTTTTCTCTAATGTTCTTATAGATAAAATTGTTACAAGCCATTCATATATGCCAGAGTAACCAAAATGGTAAAAGTTTTTGTTCCAACGTGATTCTAATCTCAGCATAAACGAATCCTTTTTTTTTGTTTTGAATCCAATCCTATTAAACTTGCCTCGCATCATGCATATTCTAACAGCATTAGGAACACACAATCATTAGTGGCACACCATTCCAGATTCCAATCAAGCGAAATAAGATGAACGTAGCTTGAAATTATAAACGAAGCCAAAGAGATTACAAAAAATACACACACACAAGAGAAAAAAAAATCATATATTATATTTCGTTTGTTTATAACTATTACTTTCCTACAAGGAGTTTAGCTCTAGCATCTCCTTTATTGATCTCAAACTTATCTGCTAAACCAAAGTGAACCATCAACAACCAAACGAAGTTAAGAAGCTCACCGCCTCTGCTAAGTTGCGCCACATGCTCCGTAGCTTTACAATGACTTGCTGCGTAACATAGCAACTCAACCCACACTTTGCTCAATACTCTCCATTTCCCATCTTCATTACTACTCTCTTTCAAATTCCGAAGCTCTTTTGCCAACATACTCGCATCGAAAAGAACCGACTTGCTTTGATTTCCCTTCACAAGTATCTGCTCAATATCGTTATTAACAGATAAAACCATCTTACTCGCTAGTTTCATATCTCTCAGATTCTTGATATGCTTTCCTTTGAAAAACCTCTCAGCTTCAGCCTTAGTGTATCTAAAACGTATAGTCCCCATTCCCGACACTTCTGACATCAATTTTGGTCGCATTATCAACAAATACATCATGTAATCCGATATAATCTTGCTGAATTCTCGGTCATCATAACTTTCTCTGCTCAAATTCTCCATCTCCCCACCTTCTTCTTCTTGAAAACAGAGCTCAGTAGCAATATGCCAAAGGAGTAGACTTTGATCATAATCAACTTTCTCTATATAACACATCAATGTATCAATTTCTGCCAATATCGAATCTTGTAAAGCCCATTGTCCTCTCGCCCAAGACAGTTTCTTTGCAACTTTAGGTGTTTCCGCAAAACGGGACTTATCCTTCAACTCATAGAATATAAATTCCCATTGATTCTTCGTCAAAGGCTCTCTCAAAACGAACCTAAACTCGTCTAGATAAGTTTTAACACTAAAGATTCGATCAATGTATTTCCAAAGGACTCTGAAAAATTCAGGAATACCCGCAAAGAATACAAGGTATAACGGGTAAACTGTGTAACGAAACATCAGATTTTTTTTAGACCATTGCCTAAGCACGCTTCTTATTGATCTATTAACATTCTTGATCGATCCAATTCTTCCATTAGCTTAGCGTAGTTAGGACCAGCGTCTGGTGCTAGAAGCATTGTTTCTTTAAAATTTTCTTTGGATTTGTCTAAGCTCGCTGAGTACAATGCTCGTGTCCTCTCTACATATTTAATCGTTCCGGTGACGAATAAAAGTGTGATTGGTGGCCATAAGACGTTTTCCAACGATTGCACCACCACATAAACACCTGAAAAAACGACATAAAAATCATATAATGTTATAAAAGAACTTAAGTAATGAGGATATTTTTGTTTTAATCAATAAAACGGTAAGATATTTTGATTATTTGACTGCCTTTGGGCAACCCTCTCAACAACTAATAGATCCATTCGAAGAACATGAGGACTAGTTGACTTAATCAACCTCCAAATATTTGGGGCTGATTACGTCAATAAAGATAATGAAAAATCATTTCATTTTTTGGTTGAAATTTTAGGTGGTTCTTGAGAAAAAACAGCGAAATTTTTTATCCCTAAAGTGGATACTAATTAAGAGAAATGTATAAACCAATGCTTCCATGATCTTTTCTATAGTTCTATATATAGATCCACCTGCTATTGATTTGTAATGGTTTAGAGTTTGATTGGTATGTTGTCCAAATAGACGGACCAATTCATAACCCACTGAACAAATATTCGCACGGACGGACCATATGGACGTGGTCATGTCCTATTGACAGCTCTAGAGTTAAAAGTGTAATAGCAATGAGTAACTAATGAATCTGGGTTTTTAAAGACTATCGTGAATGTCGTCTAAGTGGCAAAAAATTAACTCAATTTTCTATACATCAACCAAATTTTTTTGCTTCACCCATTAGAGAAGGATGAGATCAAGAATATTTTCTTGGTTGAAATAGAATACTCTTGGCCACAAGGAAGCAAGATGTCTCCAACAAGATCCTCTCCCACATTCAAATAGTTCTAAACATGGAGATGCATCCTCATATGCACCAAATCAGTCATCGGTTCATGTTGCCACAACAACTCAAACACCTTCTGATGGGGTCAAAAATGAGATCTGAACCACTAACTTAGAAACCACCTCCCATCATTATGCGGGTGCGGGTGTAAACTCATGAATCCAAGCCAACAATCAATTTTCACCTCTAGAGATGAATATAATAACTCAGCCACTTCAATGGTTGAGAGACTTACCACTGAAGAGATGGATGCATCTGCTCAGAGAATTCTGAGTGAGAGAGGCCGGTAAAACCATCTTAAAATAAAGAGTCAAGAGATGGAGTGGTCGGTGGCTGGGGCTGGTGGAAAAACGTGGTCGTGGTCGTGGCGGTCATGGAGGTCGTGGTTAGTGGCCTACAATCACTACTGTATCACCTCCTCTTCTCTTTCTCTTTTATCCAATAGCTAATGTTTAAGAGCAGTCTAGACTAAGTATCTCTACTTACCTTCTTCTCTTTTATTTACTTTTCACACACTACATGAATATTGAGTTTTAATAGCATTCTTTTTTTTTTTTTTTTTTTTTTTGAACAAAAGCTTGTTTTCATTCCATTAATGTAGAAACCAAGTACAGAGATAGAGGAAAACTGAATTCCCAAAGTTTAAAGCACCACAATAAAGGGTATACCCCAAAGACAACATAAGATAGATATAAAGATAGGTAAGGTTAATCGATAAAAGTTCCTTGAGAGCTTTGAGCCAAAAGCTAGGTAGCTTGTTGATACATGTGAGATCAAAGAGTATCGATGATTCTTCCAAGAGCAAGTCAATGGATGAACGATTGCCCATTGTCAAGAGACGAAGTGGGGTTGATGAAGGGGTCAAAGACGTGATTCTCGCCGGCACGAGAAAAGCTACACGAAGTAGTGCTTTGAAAAGGGTTCGAGCAAAGGTGAAGGTGCTCTGATGCTTGAAGTTGTTTGCTAGAGCTGCCGTATAGTGGGAATTGAGCTTAGGCAAAACATAGCAATTGGAAGTGGTGTGGAGGGTGTATGGCTTGAAGTCGTCAGAAGAGTTTGATGGAGAATGGTCATTGGACAAGCTTCCAAAGCCACCATCAAATCTCTCACAGGAAGGGTTCAAGAGCATTAGACCAAAGACCTTTAAGCTTATAAACACATACCTCAAGACTTTAGATGAAGCATAAACCAGGGTTCGCAAGTGATGGGTGTAAAACCGTAACAGAACAGGTGGATCCTCTCTCGCATGAAAGCCTCGGCCATGGAGATTAAGAATTCCACACAAAGTTTGTCTTCGGTTTAACACATAGAAAATAACCAGACCTGAGCTTCAAGGTTTTGAGCATATGAAAGTTATCACTGAAATTGATAGATTGCACATGAATGAACTCGATGAACAGGGGGTACGGAGGTAGGAGGTTGAGGAAGCTGCGGTAATCACCGCTCCTTGGAGACGGGATCATAATGCCGTTCTTCCTCAATCCTTTCATCTGACCTCGATAAAGGTAGCTAAAACCATAAGTAATCCACTTAAGTGATTTTAATGGCCAGGTTCTCAGAGAAGGTTTGTACCAACAATGAAGCGATGTTTGATTAGGTTCCAATCGATGTCCTCTAACAACTGGTTCCTTAGATCGACACAAACGTTTGCAGAGAAAGCACAAATGAGAGTTTAGGCAAAACCTGGGCTTAGTGGAAAGATGAGTTAGGCTGTCACTTCTACAAGTGGTCCAAGAGAGAAAACACCATGGGCCGAATTGGGAAAGGCCCAATAACGAAAACCCTAGTGTCTCTTTGGCTGCGTTGATGATGCTGTGACTGTGGCGGCTGGACATCGGCGAGATGATAATTAGAATGGAATGACGCATCGCCGGAGGTTATGGCACCGGAGTAGTCAAGACCGGCGACTTGCGGTACCATTTGGAAAAAGGTGCTGCAGGTTTGGATTTTAAGGATCTCACCAACATCAAGGCGGAGTAAGATTCGTCCAAAGCCACCAGCGGGTTAGAACGATGAAGTGATAAAGCTTTGGAAAAAATTATTAAAGGGTCTCCGACCACCGTTAACAAAATCAAAGGAAGAGCGCAGTGATGGTCGGGAAGATGATGAAAAGAAAACAAAAGGATTGAAAAGGTGATGTAAAGACAAGAGAGAGCGAATTGATTAGAGATATCCCGACGCCGGCGAGCAAAGACTCCACCGGCGTCGGAAAACATGATCAGAAAATGGCCCTCGATAATGGTGCCCGAGAGAGTTTGGCTAACGTTTTATGAGTTTTAATAGCATTCTAAGATAGCTTTTATGTGTGTTTTGCTATTGTTGACTTATTCCTAATTTTTCTATAGCGTTTATAGACAAACGCTATAATATATTATATTCCAAAATTAAACGATAGTTTCAAACCCATACCCAGTCGGTTCAACCGGTTCACTGAGTCGCGGGTTAGTGGTGGGTTTTTGTGGGTTTTTCCGGTTTTGAAATTGACGGGTATTAGCACTAAACCCAAACCGGAATAGTGTCCGGGTCGTGGGTTAACCGGTCGGACCAGACGGTCTGGGTCGGGCGTGAAAACACGGAATGAAACTATATACATCAGCTCTCTAGAAACCGTTTTGCTAGCCAACGTTATCATAGAGTTAACACTAAAAATTATTTAGTGTCCGCCTCTATTTTTCATGGCCGCCATTTTTTTTTGTTGTAAATTTTTTTGACTTATTTTATCTGTATGATCCTTATCAATCATAGCATACTCTTTAAAATTAATGCACCAAATTTAACACAAAAAAATCTTTCTATACATCTAGAAAACTAGTCTAGGTTTTGAATTAAAATTTCTGATATAAAAGAACTTAAATGCCTTATTACAATAGAATTTATATTATTTTTCATAAAACAATGAAATTGGCGGAGAAATGTTTTTAGTCAACTGGTTTAATATCTACCTTTGCGTTTTTTTCACCAGACTTCAACTCTAGATAATCGTGTTATCCCGCGTTGTAGAGTTTTGGTTATTTAATAAACAACCATTAAAAGCTTATATTACATTTTACTATTTTATTTGCTAGTGTTCTTCTATCTTCAGGCAATACATACACATAACACATCTAATGTATTTTCCAAGATATCTGAATCGTGTTCACCCGTTTCTTACCTGCAAGCGCTTGAAAGACGAGGCCAAATAAATGACGTTTCCATAACGCATTATCCTCAAGAGCCAATGCGGTTATGGTGTCCGGACCACCAAGATGCAACAACAAGAATGGTGCCCATAGAGCAAGAAGCTTCTTGTTTTTTGGAAGATCGCCAGGTTCTGAGTCTTTCCCTTGGTTCTTAGTGATCTGAGATACCACATAATTAGCTGTCCAATCCGCTAAAAGATAAGCGGTCCATATAACCGATGCGAGCAACTTCTTCGACGTGCGTTTCCGCATAGGTGCAAGAAAGATAAGAGACGTTTGAAGCAACAGAGACAGTATCACAAGTCCTCTGATGTTCCATATGTCTAATATCTTTTTTATTGCTGGTGGAATCACTTGCATTGTGGTTACTCTTTTTGTCTGAAAAAACTAAGCTCGTTAAGTATCAAAATTTGCTATTTCATGCTCTCTTACTCAGGGTACATTGTACATATATATATAAGGGATTAGATTATTTGTTAATTATTTGACCAGATTCTTATAAATGAAGCTATTTAAAAACACGTGAATTATGTTTTCCCACTGTTCTCATACTTTGCATAAAATGAGAGCATGAAAATTTGCATAATTCCTTTCTTATATTCCACGGTAAGTCTTTAACCAAGGGCTTTTTCTCTGTCAGAATTTAATATTCTTTCCTTGTTGATAATAAAATCAAGAAAATCATACTTTAATAGTAGAAGGATTTTCTGTTTTTCGCTTGATTTTGTGTAACTGACAAAACCTTAATTTTTGAAGAGAATTTTTTTTTGAAACAAGAGCATTGCTTGATCTTACCACCTCGAGCATACGTACATACTAGACCACTGAGTTTGGCAAGTACAATAATGTGGTTCCTACATCTCGTCGAAAAATATATTCTGAAATCAACTATACCAGTGAGTTACATCCAAAAATGAATCCATCAATTATTTTTAGTGGAGGCAAAAATATATACAAAATAAAATAAAATAAGAAATAAAACATTAAAAAATGTCATAATATGGTTTACTAAAAATATTCATTAGGTAAACCTTTTTTTTTGTCATCATCATTAGGTAAACCATAATGGGCAAAAAAAGTGATCGTTGGAGGGATCATCCATTACATCACTGATTCAACATATAGATGTGATCATAAAAATGGAAATAGTTTCTCTAAAATGTTTATTAATTAATTTTATAGTTTGATGCATATAAATGTAAACTAAAATGTTAGTATGTTTGATGTCAAAAAAAAAAAATGTTAGTATGTATGCATTGGGAAAATTTATTTCCATTAGCAAATCAATTTTCTCAATATCATATTTGTTAAAAAGTCTGTATACCATCCCTGATGGGTTTTCCATCGATTCAACTATCAAGGTCATCATCTTCTTTTTTTCGTCCAAATATTCATTAAGGAAGAAGCCCAATGGGCATTACAAGGGATGAAAATACAAAGCCCATGTTCTGCCTTAATTAGATTTATAAAACAGCTTAACCTAACTATTAAGACCATCTCCAAATGTATTTTCCTATTTTTAGTTCTATTTCTATAATAGAGGTCAGTTTTCTCTATTTTTACTCCAATGTGTTCTTATATTTTTTTCTCTAAAAAGTTTAACTCTATTTATAGGAAAAAAATAGAGATTTTCTATATTATCCTCTATATATATAGATCTCTATTTTAGAGATGAAAATAGAGGTGAGTTGGAGTAGATTTGCCTCTAAAATAGAGTTTAGAGACAAATATAGAGGTGTGTTGGAGATGCTCTAAGCAAGATTAAGAGAAGGTGCTTTGGGGAGACATTTCACGACCAAAAAAAGAAAAAAAGAAGAGAAGGTGCCATGTGTCGACATGTGTCAAACACACAAGAAAGAAAGGTTTGACGCTGTCGGTGCCGATGAAATCCACGATTTGACGCAGCTCTGCCGCCTGACTTCAAAATCCACCACCGGAAACCTTCCATAGAGTTCGCCGTTGCAGACCTAATCGAAATCCTCCAATCCCATCTTGAATTTTCGTAAGAAGATTGTCAAACCTTCATTTTCTCAATTCTAAACTCCTAGAGGAGGCTCCGTCATAAGACCTACAAAGGTCCACTTCACGAGAAACATGTCGACGAATATATTAATCCAGCTTTGAGAGAAAGGAGTCAAGCAGATGGTATGTCGAAGGAGATCCACCAAATTGCAATCGGGATCGAAATTGAAGCCTTGTGGATAGAAGAGAAAGAACAAAAACACAAATCCTACTTAACTGGTATACAAACCAGATTAAGAAGGGGAATTTATCATCCGAAACAGAGATCGAAGCTTAATCCGACAAATCTGAGTTTATCAAACAAATCCGTAGAGCTCCGATTTGAATCGGAAAGCAAAAGAGAGCTATAAAACTGAAGATAAAGACTATAAACAAACTAAATCCGGCAAGGGCGGAGGTGAAATCCGATAAGATCGGAAATCACAGCTTCTCTCTCTGAAAGATGGAGGTGAGAGAAGAGAGAGAAGTTGATATAAGGAAATTCCTCACTTTTCTAGGTCATCATCTTCTTGTAATTAGTTTATGTGATAATGATCCAAAAATTAATTAATTTCAAACATTACACTAAACTAAACAACATATGAGAACAAATTTTTCACTTACTTTTTTTTTTCTCCAATCAAGGTTTTCAAATCTCATCCATACAGTACCCTAAAATCTAAAGAATTTAAACCAATTTATATAATTTTATGTAATTGTCACAATTGATATTAACACATAAATTCATTATACTAAAATTCAATTATTTTAAAATGACAAAAAAATATTCAATTAATTTACACATTATCAAATTTAGGTTTATGAGTTTTGACTATTCATATATTTATGCAACTTTTTGGACATTTGTGTGCATGTTATGAACATTCTTGCATTTTTGTGATTGCATGTTTTCTATTTTTCTAATCAATCGAATTGTTTAATCATGTAAATAAGTCACAATTATTAACAATACCATATTAGAACATTGAAACAATCATATTAGAACATAGTAATTTACTAGCATAGCTTCCAAAAGTTGAAAACTATCTTTCAATTGCTTTTGTTTCTAAATAAAAATACATAATCTGACTCTCAATTGAAAATATTTTACAATGTTGAAAGGTGATAAAGTTAATTGTGTAAGAATCAATGCATAGAGATTTTTCATCTTTCTTTTCTCTCAGCTCTAGCGCTACTCGTCTCAGTTTCGATGGAAAATAATTATAAGAAACATTCTCTTTTCCTTTTCTCGAAATATGATACCTTTCTAAAGTCAATGTAATCTCCTGTGATTCGAATTCTTCGTCAATCTCCGCAATCATCCTCAACACATGCAGAGCATGCTCCTCATCACTAAGAACTGTCATGTGCGCTTCGACTTCTGCGGTTAGAGGACACTCTAACATGCTAACTACTGCTAACATCGGTGACATGTCAGCATATGCACGACTCGTACATATGATCCCAATGTTGATCGTCCTCATTACTTCATCCTTGTCATGGCTTTGTAGTCGCGGATCTACAAATTGCGCCACCTTGTTCTGCTTCCATAGATGAGGCACATGAAAAACACAAATAAAAATTCATATTAGATTAGAGATCTTATGCAAAATAATGAATTTATAAACTATAAAGTATTATTACCCCATCGACAAAATATATCTCCTCACTATCTGGAGATGGAGATTTGTGTTGCTCTTTACATGAACAACTTCCATAACTACTACACCAAAGCTATAAACATCAGATTTATCAGACAAATAGCTTTTATATGCATATTTTGGTGCCATATATCCGCTACATGTAAAATGTAAGTAAAGAGTTATAAGAAAAAATCTCACACTAAGCTGAACAATACTTTTATTTATTTAAATTACAATAAAATTCTTTATACTAAACTCACTATAGTAAAATTTAATAAATTCATACATTATCATATTTAGGTTATGATTTTTGACTAAATCAAATAAGTGTGCAATTTTTTGGACATTTTTGTGCATTTGTTATGAAAACTTTGAGCATGTTTGTGATTTGTGAGAATAGAACCGGAATCGAAGCAAAAAGAACCGAACCGGAACCGAATCGAAATTTTAAAATGCTCGGATCCTAAATTCTAGAATCGAAAAAACAAGAACCGAACCCGAACCAAAATTTTTTGGGTAAAATATCCGAAATATAATTTTATATAAAAAAATATTAGTTATTTTTAGTTCGAATAACCAAAAATACCTGAAATACCAAAAAATATTAAAAAATACCAAAAATATCCGAAAAAATACTCGAAAATATCCAAATTGCCCAAAAATCCATAATACCCTAAATATCCGAATGGATCCTAAACTCCAGAACCGAACCAGAACCGGAACCGGAACCGAACCGAATACCTTATTTTAATGGGCTGGGCCTTAAACAGAAAAGCCCAGTTAAGGTTACACCTTACAAGTGTTTCAAAGGTGCATTTTCGTAATTAAGTGAGTATCATAGGTGCAATTTAGTAATTAAGATGTGAAAATCCGAAACCGGTAACTATATAAACAAGGCACGGCGCAAGATCCGGGACCTTGCCGGCGATGACGGTGGCTCATTCTCACCGGTTCTCGACGGCGGTAAATCCCATTAACATAAGCTTGCTTTCAAAACAACTACTTCAGCTTGGAAGAACCAATAACAACAATTCCAGTACCTTCTCAGAGATCAGTCATCAAAGAGAGCTTCTAGTGTCTTCACTCATCTCAAAGCTCGACGATTGCATCAATCTCAATCAAATCAAGCAAATTCATGGTCATGTTCTCCGTAAAGGTCTCGATCAAAGCTGTTACATTCTCACCAAGCTAATTCGCACGTTAACCAAGCTCGGTGTTCCAATGGATCCATATCCTCGCCGTGTAATCGAGCCTGTTCAGTTCCGGAACCCATTTCTATGGACCGCAGTGATTCGTGGGTATACGATTGAAGGTAAATTCGATGAAGCTATTGCTATGTATGGATGTATGAGGAAAGAAGAGATTACGCCAGTTTCTTTCACTTTCTCTGCTCTTTTGAAAGCTTGTGGATCAATGGGAGATTTGAATTTGGGTCGGCAGTTTCATGCACAGACGTTTAGACTTAGAGGGTTTTGTTTTGTATATGTTGGGAATACAATGATTGATATGTATGTGAAATGTGGGTCTATTGTTTGTGCGCGTAAGGTGTTTGACGAAATGCCTGAACGAGATGTGATTTCGTGGACTGAGCTTATTGCTGCGTATGCTAGAGTTGGGAATATGGAATCTGCTGCGGATTTGTTTGAAAGTTTGCCTACGAAAGATATGGTGGCTTGGACTGCTATGGTTACGGGATTTGCGCAGAATGCTAAACCTCAGGAAGCTTTAGAGTATTTTGATAGGATGGAGAAATCGGGAATTCGAGCTGATGAGGTTACTGTGGCTGGATATATATCGGCCTGTGCACAGCTGGGAGCAAGTAAATACGCTGATCGAGCTGTTCAAATCGCTCAGAAATCTGGGTATTCTCCTAGCGATCATGTTGTTATTGGGTCTGCGTTGATAGATATGTACTCAAAATGCGGAAATGTAGAAGAGGCAGTTAATGTGTTTGTGTCGATGAACAACAAAAACGTTTTCTCTTACAGTTCGATGATCCTTGGTCTTGCTACGCACGGGCGTGCTCAAGAGGCTTTAGATCTGTTTCATTACATGGTAACGCAGACAGCGATAAAACCAAACACGGTTACATTTGTTGGTGCGCTTACGGCTTGCAGCCACTCGGGACTCGTTGACCAAGGACGTCAAGTATTTGCTTCTATGTATCAAACATTCGGTGTTGAACCAACGCGGGATCACTATACTTGTATGGTCGATCTTCTTGGCCGTGCAGGGCGGTTACAAGAAGCCCTTGAGCTGATTAAAACTATGTCTGTTGAGCCACACGGAGGTGTATGGGGTGCATTGCTCGGTGCCTGCAGGATTCACAACAATCCAGACATAGCAGAGATTGCTGCAGAACATTTGTTTGAATTGGAACCGGACATTATCGGAAACTATATATTGCTCTCTAACGTCTACTCGTCAGCTGGAGACTGGGGCGGCGTTTTAAGTGTGCGGAAACTGATTAAAGAAAAGGGTTTGAAGAAGACACCCGCGGTTAGTTGGGTTGTAGATAAGAACGGTCAGATGCATAAGTTTTTCCCGGGAAACCTAAACCATCCAATGTCAAAAAAGATTCAAGACAAGTTAGAAGAGCTTGTAGAAAGATTAACGGCACTAGGGTATCAACCGGATTTAAGCTCTGTGCCCTACGACGTGAGTGACAATGCAAAGAGGTTGATACTGATACAGCACACCGAGAAGCTAGCTTTAGCGTTCTCTTTACTCACTACGAACAGAGATTATACAATAAAAATAATGAAGAATTTGAGGATGTGCCAAGATTGTCACATGTTTATGCGTTTGGCATCAGAAGTTACAGGGAGGGTGATTATAATGAGGGATAATATGAGATTCCACCATTTTAGGAGTGGAGCATGTTCTTGTGGTGATTTTTGGTGAGAATCGAGATTGTAGACAGACTGAATCCAATCTTCAAGGAGACTTTTCTTGTGAATCAAGAAAAGGGCTTTGGAAAATTGTAAAACCGGGCCTTGTGGCCTAGTGGTAAAGGGGTCACAGCTGTGACTTCCGCCACCAGGGTTCAAGGCACGGCCACTGGCAGGTTTACATAGGGGAATTGGCAGCCTCGTGGGATTAGTCCTTGTGCCTAGGAAGCCTTTGGGAGACCCGCAGTTATTAAAAAAAAAAAAAAAAAAAAAAAAAACTGGAGATAGTTTGCTTGACACTCAAGAGATTCGTCCAAGAATTTTGAACACGTCTCGTGAAGACTTGAGAGTTTTTAACGGAAACGCCAAGGATCTAAATCTGATCATAGCTATAGTTAAGTGTATTGTATGTAACTTCGACCTTGCTTAGTCATGATTCTCATGGGCTTGGGCTGTCTCTATAGGCCCAATTATATATTTCCTTTTTTGTTAGGGTAAAATTCGTTCGTGGCATAACAAACGAACGAATGTCTTCGGCTCTTCGCTATAGTTCATTGGGTTGTTACTTGGACAACTTCGAATAGAATCAATAATACAAACACTTTTTTCTTGTTTTTTTCTTTCTAAATAAATGTAAAAATTTTACTCAATGAGTTTCACAATTTGACTTGTTTGTTCCATGACGCCGTTTGTTTCTTTCCCTCCAAATGTAATTTCTATTATTTTCATTTTGATAAAATTTTCTATTATTTTCATTTCTCTTTTTGTATCGCTATCATAACAATATAAAGTTTGGTATATTATTAAGAATTTTCGGAACTATGGTCCACACAAAGAGGTATATTCGTAGATGGCGAGAGAATCGAAATTTCGTTGTATTTGTCTTAGTCTACGAAAGAGAATGCGTGCCGTTTTCTAAAACAGAAAACAACGAACAGTGTCTTTTGAATTAATCAAAACGGCAGAGACAAAATCTCTGATGGAGCCGATTTCTACGCAAGTCAACAAAACGCACCGTCGCTGCAGATCACTACCTCCTCTTTTCTTCCTTAACGAAAAACATTCAACAGAGAGCAAAACAAAAACCAAAAGAATCTCCAACTCCTGAGAAAAAAAATCAAACTCCGTGTGATCGATTAGGTAACGTATTACTCGATCTTCATATGAATTTCGAATTTTGCTTTCTACAGGATTGTTCATTTCGCGGGATTATCTGAGAAATGATAAATTAATTGCTGTTTTTGAGTTTTTTCTCTGATCTCGAATTTAATTAGATTCGACTTGCGATCTTGAGAGATCTCTGGTGTTTGAATTTTGAATCTAATTGGGTTTTGCTTCTTCAACGATGATGGGGTTTAACAATTCATATTTTGCAGTTTCTGGGATTACACTTCAATCAGTATTTATGAGTTTGAAGATGAAATTTTAGAAGAGTGTTTTTGCTTCCACGCAAAAAAAAAAAAAAATGAAGCGTTTTGTATACATTAACGATGATGAAGCTTCAAAAGAGCTTTGTTGTGATAACCGTATATCTAACAGAAAGTATACGTTGTGGAATTTTCTTCCAAAGAACTTGTGGGAGCAATTCAGGTGATGATGATGATTCAATTTATTTATGTTTCTAATGTTATATATCGGAGTTTCGTCTTCTCTGATCAAGATGTTGTATGGTTTTCTTTTCAGCCGGTTCATGAACCAATATTTTTTGTTGATTGCTTGCCTTCAGCTCTGGTCACTTATCACCCCGGTAAATCCTGCTAGTACATGGGGTCCGTTAATATTCATATTTGCGGTCTCGGCTTCGAAAGAAGCTTGGGATGATTACCACAGGTATCTATCAGATAAGAAAGCAAATGAGAAAGAAGTTTGGATAGTGAAACAGGGGATCAAGAAGCATGTATGAATCACTTTTGCACGATTTTTTTCTTGGTGATTGATTCTTAGGTGATATTTTTGGCTTGACTGTATTAGTATGTTGCATGTAGATTCAAGCACAGGATATACAAGTTGGCAATATTGTTTGGTTGCGTGAGAATGATGAAGTTCCTTGTGATCTAGTTTTGCTTGGTACCTCTGATCCACAAGGTGTTTGCTATGTAGAGGTAGACTTCCTGTTCATTTATGCTACAATTTAGTTTCCTGGTTGATGGTGGTAGCTTTTCTTGAGTACTTTCAAATGCGCTAAAAGTGAACTCATATATGCAGACTGCTGCTTTAGACGGGGAAACTGATCTCAAAACAAGAGTCATACCTTCAGCATGTGTGGGAATTGATTTAGAATTGTTACACAAAATGAAAGTAAGACTACTTGTAAATAATCATATCATTCCTCGTTTTTCATGTTGTTTCCTCTTATCAGAATTTATATTAAGCTATATATGTTTTCAGGGTGTGATTGAATGTCCTATTCCAGATAAGGATATTCGAAGATTTGACGCAAACATGCGCTTATTTCCGCCATTTATTGACAATGATGTCTGTTCTTTAACCATAAAAAACACTCTTCTTCAGTCCTGTTACTTGAGAAATACAGAGTGGGCTTGTGGAGTATCTGTCTATACAGGTAAAATTTTTCTTATAAAAATGTCATTTTTCTCGTGGACCATGCATTCTTAATATCTCTAGGCAGTCGTATTTTTAGTTGATCTTGACAAACTGCTTTAATGATTTTTCATACTTTTATAGGGAACCAAACTAAGCTTGGTATGAGTAGGGGTATAGCTGAGCCGAAGCTTACGGCTATGGATGCAATGATTGATAAACTGACTGGAGCAATATTCGTTTTCCAAATTGTCGTTGTTATGGTCCTCGGTGTAGCTGGAAATGTTTGGAAAGATACAGAAGCAAGGAAGGTTAGATTCCTACCTTATCCTCATACAATGTTATGTTCATAATAAAAATTTTACCCTAGTTTTTGTATGCTTGGGGAAGTTCTGAGCTATAGGAACTTGGTTTTTTTTTCAGCAATGGTATGTGCAGTATCCAGAGGAAGCCCCGTGGTATGAGCTGCTTGTAATCCCTTTGCGGTTTGAACTCCTATGCTCCATCATGATACCCATCTCCATTAAGGTAGTTTAAACTTCCTTGCTATACTAAGTGGAATTCTGGTAGCTCCATTGCTAGCTCTGGTGTGACATACAGAATGCATTAACTGACTTCTTGGCATGGGAAAGAGATAGTGGATTGAAAATCGGGGCTTAATGATCATCTTTTATGGAACAACATTGATCTTGATTCTTGAAGATAACGAAATTATGATAAAATTAGCATGCCTGTTTCTGCTAAGCATCTGATTGATGTAATGTGGCAGGTGTCTCTAGATCTGGTTAAGGGTCTTTATGCAAAATTTATAGAATGGGATGTGGAGATGATAGATCAAGAGACTGGTACAGCATCTTATGCAGCAAAGTAAGTTCAGGATAGAGGCAGACTACCTCAGATTAATCTGCTTTAAACACTTTAGTTTCATGATTTTTTGTTGCATTATGTGGCTTTTTGTGCATGGCAGCACAGCAATAAGCGAGGACCTTGGGCAAGTAGAGTACATTTTGACCGACAAAACTGGGACCCTGACAGACAACAAGATGATATTTAGAAGATGCTGTATTGGTGGCATATTTTATGGGAATGAGAATGGAGATGCTTTAAAAGGTTTCAGAATTTTTTTCTTGTGTATTATGTACTTAGTTTTATGCTTTCCCAATTTGTGTTGATCATATTAATTTATACATTGTTTTAAGCATGTGCATCAGCGAGTATGCATCAAAGGAGTATTCTTTCTTACTTATCTTTTTTCGTCTTTCTGATCAGATGCACAACTTCTTAATGCCATTACCAGTGGCTCTACAGATGTTATCCGATTTCTTACAGTTATGGCCATCTGCAACACAGTTATACCTGTGCAGAGGTAAATTTTAACTTCTTGAAATCTTCACAATATCTGTTTTTGGAAAAAAACTTCATAGATCATATTTAAGTTCTGCAAATTTATTCCGTTTGTTGAGGAAGTTTCATTTAGTTCTGATTTTTTGGGTTTCCATCTGACAGCAAAGCTGGAGATATTGTTTACAAGGCGCAATCTCAGGATGAAGACGCTCTTGTAATTGCTGCTGCAAAGTTGCATATGGTCTTTGTTGGCAAAAATGCCAATCTTCTAGGTAATAGTCATCTGATTTCAGTTTTGTTCTCCATGGAATATGTACCTAAAAAGTAGTTATCATTTGTTTTTCCCTACTCTTTACTAAATGCAGAAATCAGATTTAATGGTTCGATAATTCGCTATGAGGTACTGGAGATTCTTGAATTCACTTCAGATCGAAAAAGAATGTCAGTGGTAGTGAAAGATTGTCAGAATGGGAAAATTATACTTCTGTCAAAAGGTGCAGATGAAGCAATCCTTCCGTATGCATGTGCTGGTAAGTTGACGTATCTCTTATCTATATGAGACGAGCAAGTAGCATTCAACTGAATGTGCTCAGAGATGATGGCTGTTTATTCTCCACTATGCTTTTAGGTCAACAAACCCGAACTATTGGTGACGCCGTAGAACACTATTCCCAGCTGGGGCTCCGAACATTGTGTTTGGCTTGGCGTGAACTGGAAGAGAATGAGTATCTAGAGTGGTCAGTGAAGTTTAAGGAGGCTAGTAGTCTTCTGGTTGATAGGGAGGTAACTAAAACAAGTCTCTCTTTCTGTTGCTCACTATAAGCGATTGTGATGTATGATTAGTTTGAACCTACAGCTTACTGTCTAAGTCGATGCACCTGATTGCCTCAAAATGTTGTTTTTCTCATGTCACAGTGGAGAATTGCTGAGGTCTGTCAAAGATTAGAACATGATCTTTATATTCTAGGGGTCACTGCAATAGAGGACCGGTTGCAGGTAAAATATTTTAATGTCCAGGACATAGTGAGGTTCACAATGTCATATAATGTAGCATCCTAAATTGGAGAGGACTCATATATATTTTTTCCTTATTTATTTAGGATGGTGTACCAGAGACAATCGAGACACTTAGAAAAGCAGGGATAAACTTTTGGATGCTGACCGGAGATAAGCAGAATACAGCTATACAGATTGCTCTTTCCTGTAATTTTATCTCCCCAGGTAAGTTGGGATCATTTTCGTCTTTGTTATTTGTGTTAGAAAGCTTTGCCTATTGCTACTTCTCATACTTTTTCTACCATAATCATGTTTATATCAGAGCCTAAAGGTCAACTTCTGATGATTGATGGAAAAACTAAAGAAGATGTTTCTCGAAGTTTGGAGAGGGTTTTGCTTACAATGCGGATTACAGCTTCAGAACCTAAGGTTCACCTCAGCTAAATTCTTGAACTTTGATATCCTTGGAACAATTTGCTATCACCTGTATCAATGAATAATTTTATGGGTCGTACAGGACGTGGCATTTGTTATTGATGGCTGGGCTCTAGAAATTGCTCTGAAACACCATCACAAGGATTTTGTTGAATTAGCTATACTTTCTAGGACAGCCATATGTTGTCGCGTCACACCTTCACAGAAAGCCCAGGTACCCTACCAAATGTTAGGTGCTATAAGTATTCGATATTTCCTGGTACCAAGTGGCAGTGCTCATCTCATTTCTGTTTTGGTTGGAACTTTTTTCTCGACTTTACAGTTAGTTGAAATCTTAAAATCCTGCGATTATCGAACCCTTGCAATTGGTGACGGTGGGAATGATGTAAGAATGATACAGCAAGCTGATATCGGGGTCGGCATTAGCGGAAGAGAAGGGCTGCAGGCAGCAAGAGCTGCAGATTATAGCATTGGAAGTAAGACCATTAGCAAGAATTTTTTTCCTTAATATTAACTTGAAGATACATATCATGCACATATTTTCCATATACCTCCATATCCATGCTTCTGGATTTTGTTGCATGGATAAATTGTTTTAGCCACTTAAAACAGTTTTTGATTGGTTCTTGATGGACTAATCTTGATTGCAGGATTCAGGTTTCTGAAAAGACTGATTCTTGTTCATGGGAGGTATTCATATAACCGGACAGCATTTTTGTCCCAGTATTCCTTCTACAAATCGTTGTTGATATGCTTCATCCAGATTTTGTAAGTTTATTATCTCAGATATGTTCTCAGTAGATATCATCCAGGTCGTTCATGAAATACTGACAACAGAATCTACGTAGCTTCTCGTTTATTTCAGGCGTTTCTGGAACCAGTCTTTTCAATTCGGTTAGCCTGATGGCTTATAACGTTTTCTACACCAGTATTCCTGTTCTTGTTAGCGTAATTGATAAAGATCTTAGTGAAGCATCAGTGATGCAACACCCTCAAATTTTGTTCTACTGCCAAGCTGGAAGGTATGCTTGATTAATTGTGTCTAAATCTGGTTTTACTAAATCTGAAGTTAACTGTTCATACGTTCATATATATTTGTTAATTTCATCTGTTTTTTGAACTACTCAGGCTTCTAAACCCAAGCACATTTGCGGGGTGGTTTGGCCGATCCCTTTTTCACGTGAGTACTGTCATCTCAAATCTACTCAATTGAGTTCATTTTCTTCACTACATCCACCAATTAATAAAGTACAAATATACTATGCAAACTCCACACACCAATTAAGAAAGTTGAAATGCTTATAGTTACTTTTTATCTTCTTCATTGCTTTTTGTTCATGTTCCCTTGTATAAATCTGGATTCTGGGATGTATTTGCAGGCAATTGTTGTATTTGTAATAACCATACACGCATATGCTTACGAGAAAAGTGAAATGGAGGAGCTTGGAATGGTAGCTCTTTCTGGATGTATATGGCTTCAAGCTTTTGTTGTGGCTCAAGAAACCAAGTACAGCTTCTTTTCCTTGCGCACACATTTAGACTCATACATTCCATTTATATGTGCTTAGTGCTTATTGTCTCTTTCTTTTTCTATTTCTTTCTTGATGTGCATTGCAGTTCCTTTACGGTGTTGCAACACCTTTCCATTTGGGGAAATCTGGTCGCTTTCTATGCAATCAACTTTCTCTTCAGCGCAATACCGTCATCCGGAATGTACACCATCATGTTCCGCCTCTGTTCTCAACCTTCTTACTGGATAACAATGTTTGTGAGTATCAAAAACTCATCTCTTATCATCTGCCTATAAGTCTTCCCACAAACAAACACCAATTAAGAACAATACTTTGTTTCTTTCTCTTGTGCAGCTCATAGTTGGAGCAGGCATGGGTCCTATATTCGCATTGAAGTACTTCCGCTACACATACAGACCCAGCAAAATCAATATACTCCAACAAGCTGAAAGAATGGGTGGTCCAATACTGACTCTAGGAAACATCGAAACGCAACCAAGGACCATTGAGAAGGACTTGTCTCCATTATCCATCACTCAGCCCAAAAACAGAAGCCCGGTCTATGAGCCATTGCTATCAGATTCTCCAAACGCAACACGACGCTCATTTGGCCCTGGAACTCCATTCGAGTTTTTCCAATCACAGTCAAGATTATCATCATCGTCTGGTTACACCAGAAACTGCAAAGACAACTAAAAAACATTTTCTTTTTCTTTCAAATTTTTACATTTCCGTGACGTTTGTGACTTTTCTGATCTCAATGGTAAATGCAGTCCAAGTCGCGGGAATTAACCAGAATTTGATAGAGCAAAAAACGAAAGAAATGGACCAAAAAAAGAAACAAGTTGTATTTGTATATAAGACTACTTCACTGGATTTTGCAGATATTGAGAAGTAGTCTTTGAAAAAACATTGCCTTGTCAGCAAAATAGATCTTATTTATTAATTTATTAGATCTCTGCGAGGGAAAACCAAATGGAATACCTCTGCAACAGTATCTCAAGAAAACAAATGGGTACTTACATATAACTCGGATGTTACAATCTCGATCTACGTATAAACCTCTTCCCCGGTCTCCGCCTAGCCCGCCCGGTTTCTGATAACTTTATATCCCAATCCTCGACATTCTTCGGAATATAAACATCAAACAAGATTTGGCCTAGAACTCCATTGGGCTTAACCGATTCATCGGTTTGAGTATTGGACAAACGAATCAAGTCTTGTTTGTGTTCATCTTGCACATATCCACCATCTCTGCCCACGTAGTAACCTACGGTGGTAGGCACAAAGAAATGATCGGTTGTGACAAGTGGAGTTCCGTTGAAGCTTCTGTTAACACCAGAGGTTGATTGCCCCAAGCTTTGAATTGGCCCTGTTATCTCATCATCACCTTGAGTTTCTTTCATAGCTTCTCTGCCAAGACTTCTTGTCTTCTGCAGATAAACCGACACTGCTTTTGACAAGAACTCTGATACAGCAGCTTTATAGTCGACCTGGTTATAACGATAATGACCTGAAAGCATTATGTATGAATTAATATTCTGATCATAAAGAACTTATTTTGGAGAAAAAAAACATCACTAAGTGTCAGTATATACTAACCACAATGAGGAGAATCATTCCATTTTACAAGTTTTACATTTCCTCCTAATTCTTGGAGACGTGTAGCGAAATTATGTATAGTTTGATAAGGAGCGAGGTCATCGTTTTCAGAGCATAGAATGAGATAAGGTACTCTCATGGTCTGCACCAAAAGAACGTAAAAAGAATGCATTGAGATAAGAGGTCAAATCCGAAATCAAAGTCGAGACTTATTTTTTACCATTTCATAATATGTAAATAAGGCTCTTACTATAGTAGAGTAAAGAGTCTGCCAGAACTCAGCTCGCTGTGATTCAAACCTGTTGAGGAAAACATAATCGAGACTCGAAGCAATACCATTCGCTGCCCAAACAAACGGTTTAGGTGGATTAGACATTTTAAGCGTAGTTGGATGAACCGCTAATCGAGCTCCCAAGTCGCTAGTGAAATCCACAGGACAAGAGTCATAGATAAACCCTGAAATACAGTTTCTAACCAATCTACAATCATCCTGAATACACACAGAGATAAACCAAAAACCCATTAACCTAAGAATCATCAAGATAAAGACAAGTTTAATCATTAACAAGAATCGCATACCGGATTTAGTCCGGTTTCGCATGTTCCTTCAAGTATCTGCATATTTATACATAAAGAAGGATCTTGATTATACACTTATACTCAAAAGAGAGAACAAATTCAGAAAAATGGTGAAAACAAAACCTTACTTGAAGAACTTTATACATACAAGCATTAGGACCACCAGAGAAAGAAGCAAACACTAAAGGAACTGGCTTTGCTTTAAGCTCCTAAGAACATCATCAAAACGAGAACTAATAAGCTTATGAGATCAACAAAACAATAAAGTTGCAACCTTTATTACCTTCACAAGTTCAGACACAACATTAGAAGCTAAATCTGCAGCTTTGTCTGGAAGAAACCTATTACATAAAAAGAAATCAAGATTTGAATCAAAAGAGAATGATGATTGAAAACAGAGAGATGAGAGAAGGAGGTCAAAACAAACATGTTGAGAAATTGAGAATGGCAAACGAGAGAATCCCAAAGAAGAGAAGAATAGAGATCGACATGGTTCTTGAGATTGCGTTCTTCGCTAGACATCCAAGCGAATACCACAACGATCGCTTCGCTTTGACTTCCTTCATTGATGTTGTTCTTCTTTCTCCAATAGTAATTTCCTCCAATTCCCCACATCTTTTCTCTGTAAATTAGGGTTTTCTTTTTTTTTTTTGTTATGGAGAAGATGATTGTAGAAATCTTCAATTGAGGTTTGACATGATAATGAAAGGGCACAAGCTTCAAGCAGAGAGACGTAGAGGAAGAAGATAGAACAGATCACTATCGTTCGTTATCTTTTGGCTTAATCTAATAATAATGTTATATAACATAAAATTTAATTAGAAAAAAAAAAAATGTCCAAAAAAATTTCAAAAAATCTTAATTTTGCTTCTGATAAAATAATGTGTTAATTTTTATGATTTTTTTTTTTTTAATTTTAATCGTTAATTTGTATTGATTTTTATTTTAATCGCTATTTTTTGTTGACTTTAATAAATCACGTTGTTAAGTTGACTAATGAAATAAATTAGCGGATTACTTCTTTGATAAATTCATGGATACATATCAATAGTGACATGAAAAAACATAAGAATGCAAGCTTTTCTTAAAATTCTACAAAAGATTTCTATCCGTGATGTTGTTTCGATAAAATATTACTTAACGTAACGGACATTAGTTTTAATTAAGAAATTAAAACTAACTAATTGTTATTAGCTAGCTCTCTATGCTCGACATGGATCATTTTGAAGAATTAATTACATGATGTGTTCAGTTTGCAACTTGATGAGGTACACTACACAACGCAACGCCATTTGCAATTTGATGTCACATATAGTCATATACTGATTCTTCAAGATATTTGTTAAATGGCAATGTTTTTTACAAGCGTCTGCATCGGCATCATGAGTTCCATAATATTGCTATCGTCCACCATACAGTCATTCTTCTAGTTCTAAACGAAGCTTTCTTGGAAGATGCAGAATTTGATGATGTGGAAGCTGGTCTCAATCTAGAAGAAAAAGAGGAAGTTGAAATTTCCGAAAGAGGATTGATTCCCTTAAATTGATATGAGGTACACACCTATGTACAAATAGCTAGCTAGTTACCATTATACAAGATATACACAATTATATAATATAGTGACTAACGGAAGAGATTATAGCTATACACAGAACTGTTCCTATACACAGGGCCGGCCCAATATAATATGATGCCTAAAGCAAAAATAAATTTTTGGCCCATTAACAGAAAGTTAAAAAAAAAAACTGTAAAAAATTAGATGGTTAAAGACTCAAACTCATAACGCTATGATAAGAAAACAAGGACTTAACCACTCTACAACGACAGCTTTTACCAAAATAATGTCCTTATTTTTCTTTATACTAATTTAATGCCTAAAGCCTTTGTTTCACGGGTTTTAGCTCTGGACCGGATCTGGCTATACAAATTGGTTAATTAAGTGAATATAACTCTATCATCTTCAAGATTCAACACGGGGAATTGACGCATATCTTCGACACTTCAATTAATCGTTGGTTGACTTCCACGAAACTCTTTCAAATCTTTGAAAGAATGCAAGAAATCCCGGTGATCAATTTTGCGTATGACCATCTTCCTGAAGGTTTATACATTGATAATCATAAACTCCTCGAGATACATTGATAACAATGAAAGAGATCAAGTCAGTGTTCCTAATAGGTTCCGCACCTCCACATGTTTGAATGATGTTGTTCCAATCAATATGACTGTTGCGAGTATCAGCTTAATTCCTGATATGTCTTTCCACAAGAAGGTTCACAGAAATAGGCATTAGCTTCGGTATCCTTACATAGTACACTATCGATTTTTATTGGATCCCTAAGGAAATGTGTCATTCACCTTTAAAGATATAGTTGTGTAATTGTGTGTTCTGTGCAGCGTGTCACACCCCACCTATCACTTTGGGTGAGTTTGTTTGGATTTATCTCATTTTCTCCAAGAGTTCTGCAATTTCTATTTCAGTTGCTTAAATTAGTTACTTCCAATAATTAGTTTTACAACTTTTTGTTTGATTGTGGCGATGGTTGGACTACTCAAATGAGTACATTTTTATTCTACTGATCAAAGACTACCTCCATCGAATAATATTATGGTGGATTATGGAAAAAAAAAAAATTGAACCACAAATTAAGTATACAGTATTAATTTTCTTTTAATAAAATCTAATAATAAATAGGATCGAATAAACCCTTTTTGTTTTTAATTTATATAATATTTAAAATTTAACCAATTTTTAAGTAGATTAAACAAAAAGTGTAGCATAAATTAAGAAACCTAATGAAATGATATATAATATATTGGTATATAATGAAAAGGTATCATAGATTTATAAGTTGAAATTTTGAAAACCAACCAAAGATTACAAGACTACTAGTAGCTTTAAAAAAGTAACGTTTTTAACCAGATATATATATTTTTTTTTCCAACAAAAGACTTTTATTAATTTCAAAGAGTAATTACAAGGATATTATGCAGAATTACTGTAACACAAATTATTACATACGCATATGTATGCGCCATATACTGAGAAAAGTACAGCAGAAGGGAGTTTGACGATGCTTTTCGAAGAGTAGCCTTACTCGCTAACCGATCATAAGATCCGTTATTATCCAACTTCATATTTGCTTTTCTCTGATACGATTTGAATGCAGCATCACTTGGCTGAACTTTATTTTTCCAAACCGCAGCTTTTAACCCGACGTGTGTATATGTAATTCTGAAACGTAGACACAATGGTACCAAAACTTCCGTACCAAGATCCTTATAATGAAATATCCTTACCCTGTAATTTTCTCCCACATAGTCACATAGCTTTTTGCCGGTTAGATTCTTGGTTATTATCTTGCATATCTCCTTGGACCCAAAAGTTCTGAGAATCGGTTTCAATTTCTCCATAAATGTGACAAGCTCTTCCAAAGCCTCTGCAATATTCCCTTTCTCATTAAGATCAAATGCAAGAAGTAACGCCCATGTCTCAAAGAAGTTCTCGGTGAAGTTGGCATAGGCTTTAATTTCCTTGCAACACTTTTCCTCCATGACTTCCATTGATAAACCATAATGCCAACATCCATCTCTTTCTTCCATTAGATCCATATCAAACGTACAATCCTTAGGTTCAAGGTTTTTCATATCTCCGGCAATTCCAAGGGTCATCTTAAACAATCTTCTATACCAATTTTCTTCCATGAGTAATAAAATTATGAAAATTCGGTATAAACTTCAATTTTCTTCCATGAGTATCCCAAGTTGAACCTGAAATTTTTATCTGAAAAACTTAGGTTTTTTTCAGGAATCAGAACCAGTGATTGTTTGTCAACTTCCGAGACGAATTCTGAATGGAATATACCTCCGTTTGACAAACCGTAAATTGCTATGGATTCTTTGTAGCAAGATCTATCCAGGGACGTCAAAATAGTGATCTAACTCTCTTACGTTCGACGGGAAATGACTCACCAAAATCCCTACTTGAAACTGTTACTCCTCCCTCTTCTTCACAATAAAACTCAGAATTTAATGTAAGGCTCCAAGAGATCAAAACACGAACTTGTAGAAGAAGAAGACTAAAAAGGTTAGGTTTCCTTACCCAACAAGCCAGTGATGACAAAAGCCCGACTCCGGTGAACAACGGTGGTGAACGGTGGCTCCGATGGTGATCGATGCTGTTGTTTAACCACAATTCTCCTTTCTTCCTATCTATATCTGTCTCTCTCTCGTTTCTTCTCTTGACGGCGTTTCCAAAGGAAGAGGGAGATGTATACGCTTATACACAAATATGGAGAACACACAAAACCCTTGTCGTTTTAGGAACTTTGCTTCACTTGGCTTAATGGGCTGCAACTTGTGTCTAAATAATATAAAGCCCAAATTGGGGATGTTACAACAAACTCCATAAAAAATTTCCAAGGCGAAAATGATTGAACCAAAATACCAAATTGGCGATTGCCTATCCCCTCTTCAATATAGCCTACAAAACTTTTTTCGATCTTTACTCAAAATTATTCATAATAACAGTGCTTAATCTCGCGAAAAAGGTTTTTTCAAAAAGAATATTAAAGTAATGCTAGCAATAAAAACGAAATTACTTTTAAACTGGCAATTTCCAAGACGAAAAAATTCTCTAAATTCTTTTTGCTCTGCCATCAAAAATAGTAGACTCTTTCTTTCTTTCTTTCTTTTTTTTTTTTGGGTAAAACAAAAATAGTCTACTCCAATGATAAGTTCTGTACGTTTACAATAGGTTAAAAAAAGTGAACTTGATAAAAAGACTCCCCTAAGCAAGCACTTAAGGCACGTCTAAGAAGTGAACTTGATAAAGAGACCCCTAATAAGAGCAACATTATTGGTAGTCTCTTAATATTGGCTCTTAGCAATAGATGATGAACACTTAGCTAAGAAACACTTTTTAACCCACCAAATGTCTTTTAGCTAAGAGACATTCTTAACAATTTTAAGATATTTGCTTTATTTTTATCTATTTTAAGTTAAGATTTTTTTCTAAAATTTTCCTAAGAGACTACCATTAATGATGGTCTAAGCACCCGACCAGTTTGAGATTGTCCCACTGAGTTCTCTTAATGTTGCTATATACATATTTGAAATTACTTCCACTTAAACACAACGATCTTATATTCATGATAGATTATTGCAACATGTTTTTGGACCGATAATTTTCCTAACTATCACAGAAGAAGGTTCTAATTAAATCTCCACAAGGTAGAGGTTCCCAAACGTAAAGCTGCCCTGAATGTGAAGGTAATAATCGGATTTTTTCGAACAAGCAGAGAAAGTCAACTGGAGAATGGGATGAGCAGGGTTTGTTGGGTTTTCAAAAACTACCGCAATAACCATGAAGCTAATGCATAGGAATTGTCCAAAGCTGAAAAACTCCCTGAAAATTAGACACTTCAAGAAGATAAGAGATAAATTTTCGTTTGTTTTTAGTTTTTCTTCTTACTGATTTCTTCGCATTGTTTTATTCATCTACCGTACGTACGTGGTCCTCACTCTCACATCTCAAAGAATGAACACTCCAAAAGAAAAAAGTCAAGAAAAAAAGATGGGAAGTTAAAGGTATATGCATGCACCAAACTCTTCAACAAGAAGTAAATGGTAGAGTTCCATGTACCATAACATTTAAATCCAAGCTTATTAGGGTCCATTTTATGGTGTAATTGGCCCACGGTCCTTTCTGTTGGTGTCGGATCCCGCACCAGAGGTCTAGGACCAACCAAAGATTGCCACGTAGTCAGGGTAGCGGCCCATAAAGGATAAAGCCCATCGGACCCACGAGTCAAAAGAACAATCGAAGTGGTAACCACCATAAGGAGAATTCGAAGTGACTGCACCTCGACACGAGTCCGGAGACGAGGTCATGATTAAGTCGGTCCAAGGACATTTGGGCCGAAAGGCGAGGCCCATAAGGATTAGAGTCAACTCGAATTCAAACGTTGAGCATTAAAGTCAAGGAATCAAAACGGACACATTTAAGAAGGAATAATTGTACTTAATTACTCATTTTAATGTCGTTTCTCTATGTATAAATATAAAGGCCAATGGCCATGTAAAGGGGATCTCTCTCTGGAGCAAGAAATACGATAGCAATTTTTGTAGCAATTCATAAGCCTTTTACGTTCTTATTTTTTGTCCCTCAAGAATAATCTTTCCTACTAATAAAAATACTTGAGTGTGTGAATCCGACATCCACACTTTCTCCAAAAACATATGTAAATACATATAATGCATGATGGTGAAATATGTCTCCAAGGAGACATCTAAAGGACTTATCGACCCATCGAGATGAGAATGGGAACTAAGTATTGGTGGGTCATGCGGTCCACGTGACACCTCCACACCCCGACATACTTTACTTTTGTATATTTGCTATGTTTATCTATTTATGTATATACATGCACATGATCACATGTACTTGTACACATGTATAATTGTATATTATACCGTATCTATGTGAGAAATGTACACCTCTATGCATGTACAGCTGTCGTTTAGATAAGTATGTCTCCTAGGAAACAAAGTGCTCTCGGAGTGGGGAGATTATTTTAGTATATCGGATTTTTTAGTTGTATTGTCACAAAATCGTAGATTTTAAGATTTTGTAGTAAGTGATAGGAATAGTATATTTGCTCCACAATTAACCAACGAAACCTAACAATAACATTATACTCTCCAGTCTCCACTATATATACTCGACTCGAGGGACATATAATGTTACAATTACAATGTTAATGACTCACTCCTTGCTTAGTAGATAAATATAGAGCACACACAATACTGTGTTGAACCGACATAAATCGATGTAAGAACCACTTTTCTTATAATAATGATTGTGGACATTAACTACAACATCTTTTTTTTATTAAACAGGATATTTTGAAGTAAACATTACATAGAAATTCGATCACAAGGATAGTAACTTATTACAAGTTCCAAGAGATCAATATTATAACAATCGAAGTTATGGACTCTTATTTAACAAAAATAACTTACATGATTATATTTTTTAAGGCACGACATAGTACAGACTCTTAATTATAGCTCCATGGAAAAAATCGTAAAAATTAACAATTTTCAATAAACAATGGCTTCACGACGGAACTCCACCGTCGTGTATTACTTGCCGCCGTAAAATATCTCCGATTATTCACCGTTGACGTCACATTGATCATGTCAAGAGATCGTTCACCCATCCGAGATCAAGATCGCCACTAGAACCGACTTCATAGCTATTCTTATCCCTAGCTTTGGCCGCCGCAGCTGCAGCTGCAGCCGCCGTGAAATCGCTTAACTGGCCACCACGTGGTGTGAATTCATCGCTAAAGAAGCTCGACGGCGGCGGTTGAAGCTGACCATGGAGGTTACTTGGAGTAGAAGAAAGGGAAAGAGCAAATTGTGGAGGACTACTCTGTTGTAATTGGAGATCTCTGTCTCCGACATCAAGCCACGGTGGAAGACGGTGGTGGAGGTGGTTGCTTAGACTCGATGAAGCGATCATCGCCGCAGTGGAAGTAGGCATGGTAACAGGAGACGACGAAGAAGCCGCGAGTGCTTCCGTGAGACTAAAGGAATCTAAAGAACTAATCAGTTCGTTTAGTACGGCCGTGCGACGGCGGCTCAGCCGTGAAAATGCAGCGGCTTTATCAGCCGGAGACAGAGGCGGAGATGAAGACGGTGATATTGATAAACCCAAGAGAGTACTAGTCGGAGAGTGGGAACAAAACAAGCAGCACCGGTTATTTTTACTACTTAACACGGACGCCGGCGATGACAACGGTGATCCACCGCAACCGGAAACGAGATTCCCCGGCGACGGTGGAAGAACTCTCAGCTGACGTGGAGAGTGAGCAAAGAAACAGACTTTCCTCTTACAATGCTTACCGTCTTTACAAGCTTCCGTACGGTACCGACTCGGGTGGAGCCAACACTCGAAAACACCGTGAGCAAATCCGCATTCGTCGCCACGGCTACAATCACCGCCGTGGCGGCTAAACTCAGGACATACTTCGCCGGTGTAGTGAAACCGGCGAGGGTCACGACGACGAGCCTTTTCGCCAGGATGCGAGAAAGGACAGTCGGTCCAATCGTGGCTACGGCTGCGCGTGCACCGTCGGATCTTGAATTCGTACATACGAAAATGGTCTCCGGCGTAAGGATCTTCCGAGTCAGAGTCGTAACAATAGTCTTTCTGTTCTTTATAGTTCCGAAGGGGACTTGAAACTGACGACGGAGACTTGGCGGAGGAAAGAAGCTTTCTCGGTGGAATATCCACCGTTGGTCTACTGATGTGGCCGGATTTGTGATGTTCGACGTCCATGTCTACGTGGCAAAAGAAGAGAGATATAGTTTTTTTTTTTATAACTTTTCCTTATAAAATTTTTATGTTTGGTTTTGAGAGAGGAGATTGGAAGAGATAAGTGTGGGATAAAATGATAGATGACTAATTGTCTCTATATATATGCGTTAGTGAATACATACATATATGTACATAATATGATGGAATGGTTGGAGAAATTAGAGTTAAAAATGTTAAGACGTTGACAAAAAATATCAAGACGTTTTAGTGCTAAAATTGCAGTGCTTCTATGGTGGACGTACGTGGTTATATTCGTTTCCATAAGATATTTTCCTTAACAACATGAAGATTAAATAATTTTTAATATTAACTTGATAAAAAAAAGGAGACTCACAAAAATGCTCATTTTTCAATACCTTTTTTAAAAATACCCCATTTGGCTGTCTATTTTTAAAAATACCTTTTTTATGTACAAAATGACTAAATTACCCTTCTTTTAATAAAAGATATCAAAAATATATAAGGAAATATAACAAAACTAGGTCCACAAAATACAAAATATTTTTTGGCGGGAAAAGTGATCCTACAATTTTTCCCGCCAAAACACTTGTAAAAACTTGTAAAACCTTTAAAATACCTTGTAAAATTTTCCCGTAAAATTTTTTCCCGCCAAAAAATTTCCAGCCAAAATTTTTTTTTTGCGGGAAAAGTGATTCCGCAATTTTTTTTGGCGCTAAATTTTTGACGGGAAAAATTTACAAGGTATTTTAAAGGTTTTTTACAGGGTATTTATAAGGTTTTACAATGTATTTTAAAAGGTTTTACAACGTATTTATAAGGTGTTTATTAGATATTATAAGATTTTACAAGCTATTTTATAAGGTTTTACAAGTTATAAGGTTTTACAAGTTATAAGGTTTTACATTTTATAAGGTTTTACGAGTTATAAATACCTTATAAAACTTTATAAGTACCTTGTAAAACCTTTTAAAATACATTGTAAAACCTTACAAAACACTTGTAAATACTCCGTAAAACCTTTAAAATACCTTGTAAATTTTTCCCGCCAAAAAAATTTCGCCAAAAAAATTGCGGAATCACTTTTCCCGCAAAAAAAAATTTTTGGCGGGAAAATTTTTTGGCGGGAAAAATTTTTACGGGAAAATTTTACAAGGTATTTTAAAGGTTTTTACAAGTGTTTTGGCGGGAAAATTGTGGGATTACTTTTCCCGCCAAAAAATATTTTGTATTTTGTGGACCTAATTTTGTTTCAAATAAGGGTAAAATGGTCATTAAAAACTAAAATAGGGCAAACTTAAAAATGGACTCTCAAATGGGGCATTTTTGAAAAGGTGTATTGAAAAAGGGCATTTTTAACAATTTCTCTAAAAAAAATGGGATAATACAAAAGATAATATCAATTAAAATATCTATAATTTTTTTTTTAAAATCAAGTAAATAAAAGATTGTAAAACTAATGAAAAAAGAAACATATTGATATTAATTTATCCCTAATTATATTAGTGTTATTGTTGTGTTATCAGTTATTAGGTGGATTTAAATTGACAAAAAAAAAAAGAATGATTCGTATTTATAAGTTATTTAATGGAAAAGAAATGATGATGTGTAGCTATAAGAAGGATCCAAAAGGGAAGAGTTCGTGGCGAGAGAACATTAAGATAGGTTCATGCAATTGAGCAGGAGCTGGCCTATTCTTACGGATATTGAGTCATTGTTTCGAATAATTTGATATTTACATGCATGTGTTGTGTTATCTTCATATTCTCGACCTTATAATAATTAAAAGTAATTAATGGTCGTGACTCAGCCATTAGTTACCATTAATTACTTAAAGTAATTATCTTCATGTGTTTATAATTTTCTTTTATTTACACATTTCTTTTATTTTAAATATATTGATTAGACCTACCAATTTTTTTTTTTTTTTTTTTTTTTTTTTTTTTTTTTTTTTTTTTTTAACACCATTGGCTAAACAGTATTTTAAAATTGAAACGACAAAAGATAAGGAATTTTTTTTTTACTCTTCCAAAGAAACATTGCATTCAAGTGTCAGCATTGTACTAAAAGTGGGAAATTATCTAAATCAAAAATTAAAATTTGTCGTAAGTATACTACTCTCACTGTTTCGTTTTAGTTATCGTTTAAGGTTTTCTCACACAAATTAAGAAAAGCATTAAATTTTCTGTTTTACCCTCTATTATTGTATTTTATAAAAAAATTCATTGGCCGAAACATTAAAACAGTAGGGATAAAACTGGAAATTTCATCAAACATTTGCATCGAAAACCTAAAACGATAATTATTATAAAACAAAATTTTAACTCTAAAACGACAAGTAAAACGAAACGGAGGGAGTAATGTAAAGATATATATATTTTTGTAAGAAAACTAAATTCAAAATCAAACTAAAATGACACCAATACTAGATTCAACGTTTTTTTTTCTTTCAATTGGCTGCCACATGCTCTAACCCAAAGTACCAGAAGCTGAATAAAAACTGAACCAAAATCAAAACAAGACCAAAATTGATGAATAACCCATACACACATATAGATCCATTTTTCTTGAACCATGCAACCAAAACAAATTGGCCCACACAAACAAACCCTCATGACTTAAACCCTGCATTAAAAATCACCAAACACATGATATATTAATAATGGTATTGAGTATATAATATACACAACTAGTTTATAGATTTAACAAAGATCATCTTAAATCAAAACCCAAACTAATCTCGACTCTTTTTCCACTTAAAATAAAAAATATACTTACGTGGAGCAATCCATGCTAGAGGAGATTGGGAAACTGAGATGTGTGTTGCAAAGAAGAGGAAGCTGTTGGATCTTATCAGCCAAAATTGGAGGCGTATAACCTCTCGTCATCATCTCAACACAATTACACAAAAGCCTCGGATTCTCTTTTTTGTGTTTCGCAATTATGTTGAGTTTTACGATATGGACACAACATTTTTTACCGGGTTTGTAGTGATATCCCGTCAGAAAGTCTAGACAATAAGAAAAATAATCGTATGTGTATGCACAAAATGGTACGTATGAGTGAACCTGAATCATTAGCCTAGTGTGATCGGAGATCACGAGAAGTAGTAGAAGTGAAATCACGACTAATTTAGTCGTGTGTGTATCCATTTAATTTCTAGAGTTCGAATTGTGACAAAATGAGACAAACTCTTAGACTAATTTGATATATAAGGAAGATTGTATATAGTATTTAGTATTAGTGATCATGTTTATTTCATGAGTTTTTTTTGGTTTTGTTGATGGTTGGGTCATCGTATACGTATATACCAATGAAAACAATACAAATTGAATGAACCTAGTTTTTTTTTTTTAATGAAATAAAACTCAAGAATGAACCTAGCTGGAGGATAATTATAGGTACTCGTACTCAGTCTACCATTAGCTACTATTAAGGGTTACCCGTCATGATTTTGATATGCAAGTTTTCACTATATTTGTAAATAGAGAGTGATTTTCATGAACACCTTGACAAGGTACAATCATATAATTGATTTCTTAAGTGTAGTTGGCCAAATATCAATCAATGTAAATGATATTTTATACTCGTAATATGTTCATGTGGATTTTCTTTTTATCTGACTTTTGTGAGAAGCAAACTTTTTTCTACCATTATTGAATGTAAATTTTCTTGTCGTTTAAGTGTTAGTTTTATATAGAACATAAATCCTTTTCATAATTTTCTGATTCGATTAAATTTATGTTGATGATGACTTAGATGCATGTTATCAAAAATTGAGGATGAATATTATTATTTTTATATAACCAAGCAATGGATTAAAGATTTAAAGCACGTAAGGAACACTGGTTACACTACGGTTTTTGTTTATTTATTTTATTATGCTTAAATAGAAAAAGATGATGAAAGGAAAATAAAAAAAATCTTCTTTGTTGTGATGATAGAAGTAGATTAATTTCATATTCAATGTACAAAGTAGAAGTAGATTATTTTCGAATATAAAACGTACAAATATCTAGATTGATGTATGATTCGATGTGCCTCTAGAAAGCTTTCAGGTTCTGCTGGCAGGCAGGAGTGATAAGCACCAAAGCAACTTCTCAAGAATAAATCATAAGTTTATGCAAATGACGTATTTTCCTTTGGATATGTGATTTTTTTTACTATAGCTAGAAGGAGGTCTCGGTCCACCACCAATTTTCAAGAAACGTAGGTATTGGACTTCCAGAATTCTTAAGATTTTTAGTATTTAGGCTCCAAAACAATTATTATTGCAAAAAATAGGCCCTATTTTCCTAAAATTTTCAGATTTAGTCTCAATTTTTAAATTTGATCTATTTATTGCAAAATATGCTCCATTTTTCATAAATTTTAAGATTTGACCTCAAGTTTTATAGTTCTTCTTTAAAATCTATCAAAAATAATTGTTTTGTATTGGCTCCCATATTTCACAGGGCCGACACTAGCTAGAAGTTAACATCCACCTAAAGTTATCAACATCTTGGCAAACATTTACAACGAAAATGTAGTCTCTACATAAACAAGTTCATGAAACTCATTATCTCAAAAAAAATTATAGATCGAGCTATTGTTATCTTCTTCTTCTCGTCTAATTATTTCAATTAACTCAACAAACCCACACAATTTTTAGTGATGCAGCCTTTGCTTAATGCAGTCCTAGTGCATAAACAGTGCTTCTCCATACATTTTTTGGAGATATAATCAGAACCGACACTGAGCTCAAGCAAGAGAATCTTGGATTTGCGTCTTAGAATTCCTTATATATTTGATCGACTTATTTTTTGTATTGTTGTTTAACTATTCAAGTGGTTAAAAAAACATCATATGTCAAGGTAAGGAGAGCAGTTCGATTATTCTACTTCTATTTTTTTTTTCCACCAAAATATCAAAAGTAATAGGGCACATAAAATAAGAGAGTCTCTGAACTCCTAATAATCCAAGAAACTAAAAACAGTAAAGAACAGTAAACTAAATGGTATGGGAATGAGTGCGATACAAGTTAGATGGTGACTTCTAAACCACATCAGCAATGGCACAACACTTTACATCACTAACAACTTTATTGACTTGGTACAATATGTTAGAAATACTGTTTTATACTGTCTAGAATTTGTTGTATATACCTAGACTATTTTGAAAATTTTTGATGTCTCAAACACTTGTGAAAAACTTTAAGAAAAGAGTTTTTGAGTACTTTGCTAATAAATTCCCTTTTTGCTATTGGTAGTACACCTAGTCGGCTCTAAGAATTTCAAGACGGGAGCTTAATTCATATCATACTTCTAGAATAACAAAGGTTGCTTTTGATATTTTATCTTGCTTAGTCTCTTCTGGCGTCTTTGAAAGCAACAATTAATAAACTAGTCTTAGAAAAAACATATCTTATTTGGGAACTCTAAATCATATATCTAGAAAAAAAAAGATGGCATTTCTCGCAAGGTTTTTAGACAATGTAAATATTATGGACGACTAAAAAAAATATCACACTCTAATCAAATTGATGCAAGTCATAGAATTTTGTTTTTTTTTTCGGTTAGCCAAAAACGAATGATGTTTTACCCAAATATATTAATAGGCCTAGGCATTCTGAGTATATCGCTTCGGGTTCGATTCAAGTATTTCAGATTTCGTTTTTTTTTTTTCAGTATTAAAGGTCTAGAAACTATTCAAATATCATAAAAATAAGTCATGTATTTAGTTGGAGATGTGCCTTTAGTCAAGTGGTTAAGTCCATTTGACTCCGCCTTCCCCACCGGAGTTCGACTCCAGTAAGTCGCGTTACTCCGCGTAGTAGGGATTGGCTATGGATCGGGTCTTGTACGATCTAAAGATGTAAAAAAAAAAAAAAAAAAAAAAAAAAAAAAAAAAAAAAAAAAGTCATGTATTTAGTTTGGTATTATTCGGGTTTGAGTCCCGGTTCAGAGAATTGATTGGAGATCCGGAATATACCCAATATTTTGCAAATACGATTCGGTTTGAGTACTTTACCCGATTTGACCAAACTTCCGGTATAAATATCTGAAATACCTTTAATAAAAGTTAAAAAATCTTAATCTAATAAGTTGTATCGAATTTCATTCTTATAATGATAAAATCCACACTAAAAAAAAAAAAATCAAAGTGAAACATAATCAAATATGCAAAACAAGCAAGAGATACAGTCAAGAGTCAAGACTTAAGATACCAAGTACTAACATCCAAAATCAGATTCAAAGGGTTTATTGAAGCTTAAAGAAGTTCATCCAAAGAAGATAAAATTAACTTCACCACAAAAAAAATTCACCATGTCCTTGTTTTTTTTTTTTTTTTTTTTCATCACCATGTCCTTGTTTAAAAAGCAAAGCAGATTAGATATTAACAAACAACCAAATATCATGAGATCATAACAACATAAACCAATTCCACATTCAGGACAAAGACAGAGAAACCAACAATTTACAAACACAACGTCAGAATTTGTTTCAACATTAAACTAAACCAAAGTGACAAAGATCAAGTTACCTTATATCCAAATGTTAGTAGTCTTCTAGTCAAAGTTAACTCGAGTATCAAACTCTGAAAGATAGTTACAGAAAGCAGTATGTTAAAACTCAAAACTGAGAAGAAAGAGTATAACAAAAGAAATTACCTTCCTTAAGATTATCAAACAATTCAACATCAACAACTAGTTGTACTACTGCTCTGTGCACATCAACATCACAACCATTTAATGAGTTAAACAACTCCTATGTGGCTTCACGATACGACCACTAGTGCTAAACACACTTTCAGATGCAAGATATGACGGACACTTAAATTGCTAGTACTTCTTTAGCTATTTCTGATAAAACTGGAAACTTAGAACTGTTTAACCTCCACCAAGACAACACAGACCATTCTGATCCTACAATAGTTGTAGGAATTTCCACTTTTCCCTTCAATAAGCCTCCAACTCATCTCTTGCATCTGTGACTCCGATTTCATCAACCATCTTCTTATAAGAACAATCCATCGGTTCTATCATTTCATATCCAAGATCCTCATCCATTGAGTCAGTAGTATCACCTGCCCCTAAAGATGATGCATGATTTTGCTGAGATGACTGCGCATTTGAACCTTTGCTATAAACGCTATTATACTCCTTAAACAAGATCAAAACATCAATGACTGATTCATACATCTCTGTAACTTCTGGAGTCTCTTTACCATAAATCATTTCAAAGCACATTATGAGTTCGTCCTGTAAGACTTAAACGCACTTTAGAGCTTGAGGAAGAGATGTTGGCAAAGATGCCTAAGTTGAAAGCGAGACCTTTGAAGAAGAAGGTACTGTGTGGCTTTCCCTCAACGTCTCTCTCTTCTGTAACTTCAGAAACAAAAGAGCTGCACAGAAATGAGAAAACTGAAAACTAAGCATGCGCTTCCTCTCTGTTTCACACAGATTTTGGCAGCCCCAGCTTTGCCCGCACCACATCCTCCAGAATTTCAGGTAAACCACACTGATCAGACCACTTTCATCTGAAGGAGATCCAAAAAATATGTGGCTTGATTCTTACTGTTGCAGGAGTTCCATCTAGAAACAATGGCACAGGCTAGCCAGCATGCAGAGACATCTTCAGTAGTCTCGACGGAAATGTCTAAGGTTGGAACATTTGTTTGTTTCCTGTTGTCTTATTCCAAAACTAGGAGAAATATTCCAGACATCTCTTGCAGCTCTAGAGAACTTATGCAATCACCAGAAGTTCTTCAAGCAACTACAAGAGCAAGGAAAACTTCTAGGAAAAGCATGCGACCACTTGATTCTTATTTTTCTTACCTTCTTCATCCACAGCATAATGGCTGGATGCCTCATCTCACTGAACCAAAAATCCCTTTGCTTCAAACAATGCTGAGAGCTCGTCCTTCTAATGCAAAAACTTCAAATGAAATTGAGCAAGAGGAACTCGAGAAGGTGCCAAGATTCAGAGCAAGACCTTTGAACCAAAAGGTAGGTAACATATCCAAGTGGTTTACTATGATGTTACCTTTCAAGTTTCAAGTTCTTCATTCGTCTCACTAGGTCTACTAGTTCAGAATTATCTCTCAACCACTCCAGATATCCGGAAGTAAAGGAGAGACGGGAATATATTGCAACACAAAAAAGCATGTAACCATACCTCACAGATGAGAGGATTTCACGGCCTAATCTGTTATAGATCTATTTGACAAGGTACTCTGACAAGTCTTAAATTTCTGCTTCTTTGAAATGTCTTAACATAATATCTCCTTGCCAGCTCTCTTTGAACTCAGATTCTTGCCGTGAAAAGCCTCTACAAAGGAACACTACACCAAACCCTTTGCTTCTTAGGACCGAAGTACGTAATACGATGAAAAAAATCCCTCTCTCTCACAGCTCACGATATTATCAAATCCAGGAATGAGGTGCTGAGGAAAAGAAGAAGTCTGTGAGGGAGTTCACATATAAGCATATATAAGCTGAGGAAACCAGAGCTTAAGCAATGCACAAAACCAGAACCGTTCCAGTTAGAGAGTCTAGCTAGGCACGAACAGGAAATGCGGAAAGAAATGGATGAAAGGATTAGAACTCAGAGAGAAAAGTCAAAGAAGAGTCTTCAGAGCACAACCAGTGATTAAAGAGTGAGTGACTGTTGCTGTCTTTTAATCTACAGTTTCGAAGAACTCGCAAAATGATTTGTGTGAATTCTCACCTGACTCAGGGATCTCATTACTGTTCCGGAGTAAGTAAGAAGGCCTCTTACAGAAATTCAAGAGTTTAATCACCATGTGGACCATCGGGCTATAGAAAGGGTAGACTTTGACCATAAAGTAAGCTTATCTAACTCAATCAGCAAATCAAAAGGAACTTTTTGATTTTTCAACTAACTTGTTCTATCATCTTTGGTTCCAGATCAAAGAGAAAGAGATGATGTACAAGAGATACCGCGAAGAGACTGAAGCCGCAAAAATGGTATAATAAGAATATAACAAATCCCTATATAAATACTGTCAAATATATATATGTATCCAAGTAAAGAGAATGATAATAAATATCTTTTACCTGAAACTTTTTCAGGTAGAGGAAGAGAGAGCTCTGAAACAACTGAGAAGGACAATGGTTCCTCACGCCAGACCAGTGCCAAACTTCAACAACCCATTCTTACCTTAGAAGTAAGTTCTGATCAAAATCAGGAGTTGATTTCTTCTTTAATTCTCTACCTTTACCTACACTGAGTTAAACAAAGAAAAATCCATGTCAATTAAACACAGGTCGAACAAGGAGACGACGAAACCAAAGTCACCAAAGCTTATGAGTGATTCGAAGAGTCGGCAGGAGAACAATGATGATGGCTTCTCACATGAGGTAGCTGTTAAAACGTAAAAAGAATAAGTAACAGCAGATATTGCTGTTCAAGAAAGCTTGAACCGCACCAACCACACCTCTTCTCCATTGTAAAATGAGGCAGTAGTAAAATCTTCCTGAGATCTGAGACATGACTGATATATATAGTAAAAAACAGAGGTTTTCCTTACAAAAACTTGCTCCGGAAAATACTAAGCAACGTCTACAATGAATACGCAAAGAAAAAAGTCTGTCACAAATGAAAAACTTCCTAAAACTAAAAACCAACTGAGATATATAATCTAGCAAACGGATAAACAAGCCCTGATCCATCTGTTTATATATTATACATTGTTCGCAGTACGTCCATTAGGCTCCAAGTTTCTTCACTCGGTTTGCTTCTTCCGATAAGCTATGATCTGAAGGCACAAACCAAATAAGGAAAAAGTCTCAGAAAGTTGAATCATACTTAGGTTAGAATGAAAGATATATAGACACAAATTATTATTGACGCTACCAAATGTTGTTCATGGCTTGAAATGAAATCGACTTTGAGCCTTGAAAATGTTTCATTGTCTTCCAGACTTTGCATCTCATCTTTGGATGTTGCTGCTGAAGCTGGAGTCACTACAGGAAGATTCTCTATTGCCATATCTTCTCCTCCTCTTCTTGTTGCCAACAATTCAACCTCTTCAGTCTTCAAATGCATCTGAAGTGCTACGAACTATTCAACATTGAAAGTTCACAAATATATTAGCGTATTTGATACTGAAATCATCTTTGTTACAGAATCAAAATGACGATCTTTCACATCAATGTAACACACCTTCTATGTATGAAAAAATCACCACTTTCTACTGTGACAACTTGTCTGATGTTAAGAGAGAGGGAGAGAGAGAGAGAGGGAAAGAGATGAGTACTCACTTCACGGAGCTGTTTTACAAGCAAAGTGGGTCGGCAACAGAGATATGGCTGTGGTAAGTCTGGTATACATTTTGTATCCAGCGAGACAAGCTTGACATGAATATCCAACTGCAGAGAAAGAAAGATTTAAGTTTAGTCAAAATCCAAACTAACTGCAATCTAAAACACAGGTCATCAAGAAGAAGAGAATCATCGCTTCTTTTCTTTGGTACCTCAACGCTAGATCCATCTATGCTGCTACGTAGATATTCAACAAGCTTGTTCACACGAGCATTCCTCACACTCTTACTACTACCTCCTGAAGTACTATTCCCATGCCTTGTGTTACTCCTTGTCCCGCCTCTTCCCCAAGCCAGTATCTCTTGATTCCACACAAGCCCGGGAGATATTCCTTTGCTGTCTCTGTACACTTCTGTGTCATTATCTGCACAGTTACCATTGTTTTTGTTTGCACCAGAAGAAGAAGGGTGTTGTGTTGAACGACTTGTAGATCGTTTTCTACGTTTCTTGTGCCGGACTTCTGTACCACGCTCATCTGAAGACGAATCTTTGTCTCCTCCTCTGTTGTTATTATCATCATTATTATCATCCTCATGGGCTTCTGATGCGTTTTGTTGTTCCATGTTTCTGCAGTTCCGTCTCCTTCTGGAGCTACTAGCAATACGCGGTGATCTCATTAAGACGGCTGCCTCTTTACCCAAAGATCGTCTTTTCACAAGAGCCTCAGATTGTCGTTGCGAAATTTGAGCTATAGATGCTTGAATCTACACAAAAGCCATAACAAGGTGAGTAAATATATTTTAAGAAAATAGCTCCAACAACAGTCAAAAAGGTAAATAACAACATTATCCATGGTATTCGACCTGCTTATTACGAGCCATTTCATCTTCGTGAAAAGCCAGTTCCTGAACCAAAAAAACAAAGCGTTTTAACAGCAACAATCTCTCCAAAATAAACAAGCAGAAAAAATATGTTGATGCTTTACCTCTTCCTCATAACTATCAATATTGGTGAATAAAGCTGCAATAAGAGCATCAAACTTTGGGTCGTCTCTTAGAGAACGCCGGCTTGCACAATGCTTCCTGCAAGCAGGACATTCGTTGTTCCTGCAATAGCAATTTCAGTTATTATATAAACTCAGACCAAATCTTTAGAAAAGCCAACACTTATGGCTCTCAAGAGAATGATGAACATGTAACCGGAAAGTGGCATAGAACTGACAAGCAAGAAAAAAAACTAAAACAACAAAGATAAGACTAAGACCCAAACAATATGAAGTCATACCCCAATCGCATGGACTTATCAATACATTCCCTGCAGAACCTGTGAAGGCATTCCATCACAGTCCTTGTTTTCTTTATAATTCCTGGAAACAGGACAACAAGAAACTCGTATCATTCAGATGTAGCATACTGTACTAATGTAGCTTAAAAATAGAGTGTGAAGGACTTGCAGCGGAAGAATAATGAAAAGATAGAAAAAATTTCCCTCAATAATAGAGACAAGTTTAAACATATTCTCTGCGAATTATCTACAAGAATACGATATGCAAAGACGCAAGAATTTCATGCCGACTGAAGAAAGTAACGGGCTTTCGAGCTTTAGCAAAAGTTTCGTTCCCAACGAGGATGCTGTAAGATTAACATAAGTGACTGACTTGAATTGAACATATACAGTACGAAACGAAGTACCTAGGCATATTGGACACTGCACGTCTTTACGGATTTCCCCTAGATCAATTTCCATAAATCTGCATGAAAAAATCCAGTCAACAATCAAGCAACAAAGATCAATCCAACTTCTTTATTCCACTGTAAAGAATCTAAAAGGTAAAGCTGACTTAAACAGGATCTTCTAGATGCTACACTAAAAGATGTTAAGTTAAATGGAAGATGAATCATTCTGAAGATCAACCTCCACACTGAGTAATCAAGCTAGAAACTTTACATTATTTAACCACAAGAGCTGCAATACTACAGGAATTACAACATGCAAGTGCTAAGAAGATGAATCAACAGATTACTAACTCAAGCAGAGAAATTGTAACATGTAATTGAATAGAAGTAAAGAACTGTTGAAACCAAGGAATTGAAATTGGAGAAGAGAACCCATCACAGTAAAACACATCTGAACAGAGAGTAGAGAAAAGAAAGAGAAATGAGAGAATCATACTCTGATTGGTCTCCTGATATAGAAGATTTAGAATCTGAAACATAAAAAAAAACAAATCAATCACATGAACAAACACATTCTCTCTCACATTTAAGCGTGATTCACGTTTCCACGAGAGTAGAAACTATAAAAAACAATCCTTTACCTTCTTCTTCTTCGTCTTCCTCTTCTTCTTCTTCTTCTTCTTCTTCTTCTTCTTCCTCTTCCGCTGCTTCTTCTTCCTCTTCTTCTTCCTCCTTCTCGTCACCATCTTCTTCCTCTTCTTCCTCGGCTTCGTTGGGTATCATCACTTCTTCTTCTTCTTGCTCCGTTTCGTCGTGTTTCACTTCCTCATCGTCTCCTTCTTTCTTCTCAGCCTTGTCTTGTGGATCCTGTTCAGCTTGCGGGTTAAATTGGTCGCGTGGTTGGTCTGCCACATCGGGAATCTCAGCCGACGAGAAGCTCTTCGACACAGACATTGTAGGGACACAGTGAGTGAAGATCTTCTTCAACGAGCTCTCTAAGAGAAACCCAAAAGGCTCTCTCTACGTCTCTCTCTATTCTTCTTCTTCTCTGCTTCGTTTGTGTTTTTTTGGTTCGGTGCCGATATACACGAAAAAAAAAAGAGAATGAAATTGGACAAAGAGAAGGTGAGAGATTTAGTCCCTTTTTGCCATTTTCTGCAGTTTAATTAATATATCCTAATTATATTATTTAATCGGATTTTAAAAAGAAAAATCGTTATTAAAATCCTCAATTTAGTAAAAACGTTAAATTAAATCTTTAATTTCCGACAAAATAAAATAAATATCAAACTTATGTTGATTTTCTAAATAAATACCAATTTTTCATTTATCTGGCCATATTAGGCATGACGTTAAGTGGATTAATATGTTCCGTTAACGGAATTAATTTTCTGTTAACATATATGTTAATTGAAAACGACATCTTTTCCTATATTAACAAAACGACCTCGTTTTGTTGTAACGATCGAACTAAATTCCTAAATTCAAATCGAGCAAAATCCTTAACCCTAAATCTTTAAATGATTTGAAACTCGGGATATTATTGAAGAGTTACAATAAAACGACATCGTTTTATTGTAAGAGGAAATGCTGTCGTTTTCAATTAACGGGTCTACTAACTAGAAAATAACCCTGTTAACAGAATCTGTTAACCCACTTAACATCATGCCTAATATGGTCAGGTCAACAAAAGTTTGGTATTATTTAGAAAGTCAACATAAATTTGATATTTATTTCGTTTCGTCGAGAGTTGAGATTTAAATCAACGTTTTCAATAAGTTGGAAATTTTAATGATATTTTCCCGATTTTAAAAGGGTTTTGTGCAACAAAAAAAAAATTGAAAATCGTTAACTTTTGCAATTTTACCTTTCATCTCCAAAAAAATATAGAATAATCCTATGAAGTCAAAAATAATACGCAATATTTTCCTTAGATCATCTCCAATGTATTTCCCTATTTTTGTCTTTAAAACAGAGGAACTCTATAATAGAGATGAATTTTACTCCAATGTGTTTCTCTATTTTTTCTTCTAAAAATTTTAACTCTATTATAGAGGAAAAATATAGAGAAAAAAATAGAGATCCTCTATATATAGAGCAAAAAATAGAGATCTCTATTTTAGAAGTGAAAATAGAGATGGGTTGGAGTGAATTTTATTCTATAATAGAGTATAGAAGATAAAATAGAGGTGGGTTGGAGATGCTCTTATACATATATTATAACCTTTCACTGTCACATGCATTTGATTTTGAAAAATTCTAAAGGTAGAATTGAACTCATTGTCTCGAGAACTTCGATTTGATATATTATTTCTCAAACTTTTAAAAATTTGATAATAGCGAAAATAACTATATTGAATATTCTGTATTTTTTTGAGATAGAAGATAAAGTTGCAAAATTTGGCAGCTTTATGGGTTTTTAGCACAAAACCCGATTTCAAACTAAAATAAATCAAGTTTCCCTTTTCTGCTTAAATGCGATAAAATATCAAATGTAATTGTCAAATTTGATTGAAAGAGTCTATAATATAAAAGTTTGTATAGCATCATCTGACTAATTGATTTCAATTTATTGGTAAATCAAAAATATTTACACTTTCTTAGTACAATCTAAATAATTTTTATACAATTATTAGGGTGGTAAGCATCATCTGACTAATTGATTTCAATTTATTGGTAAATCAAAAGTATTTACACTTTCTTAGTACAATCTAAATAATTTTTATACAATTAGGGTGGTAAGTGATCGAAATCAAACATGATGGATTAAATTATAATTTTGACCGATAGGAAGGACTTTCTAATTGTCTTGGGTCGTCAGAAAATAATTTACTCAATAATATATTTAACCGCTAATTTAAAATTTTAATTAAACCCACTTGCTCACTTGCCAAAGCCCATGCTTAAATAACTAAATTGAATTTTTGACGAGTAATGGAAAAAGAAATAAAGTGACTAAAAGTCTAAAACAAAAAAAAAATCTCAAAAATGACGTACAAGCAGCTATAACAGACGCTTATGAATGGAGTCCAGGACAAAGGAACACAAACCAGAGGACAGTCCCTACTAGACACATACCAAGCAGGTGGGAGAAACCAGAACAGGGCTACAAGAAGTGCAACTATGATTGTAATTACAATCAACATGGAATGGATTCAAAAGCAGGCTGGATTCTCCGAGATTCCAAAGGTTTCTATATTGAAGCTATTCAAAGCAGAGGACGAGTTTGTAATTCACCATTAGAAGCGGAACTTCAAGCTCTATTGATGGCCATGCAACATACTTGGATTCGAGGCCATAGGACAGTTATTTTTGAAGGAGACAATAAAGAAATCCCTAAACTGATATTGGGAGAAACAAGAAACTTTGATCTTCACAATTTGGTTCGTGAAATTCAATCATGGCGGGAACGTTTTATGAGTACGAAAATCATTTGGGCGCCTCGGGATAATAACAAAGCAGCTGATCGTTTAGCTAAAGAAGTCATTCCAAATGAATCTTCTTTTGTATCTCATTTTTATGTTCCAAGATTCCTTGTACAAGTCGTCTATGAGGATCACATTTCATCTTTCTAATAAAGAGATCAGCGTTTGATGTTAAAAAAATAAAATAAAAAAATCACAAAGCTTCGCCGTCTGTGGGATCGAACCCACGGCCACGTGGTTAAAAGCCACGCGCTCTACCACTGAGCTAAGACGGCTATTTGCCTTAACTATTCACTGTTTAAATAGTAGCCTAAAATACTTTCTCTTAATTGTATTATATAAGAACAAGAGAATGGGCCAAAATTGGGTAAATAATGAGGCCCAACAAAAGAAACATGTAACCAAATAAAATCAGTCCGAACTGGAATTGTACTTGTGTCCAAAACAGAGTTAAGATTTTGTGTCTTTTTTAGTCAAATAGATAAATTTAGGGTTTCTTCTCAATATCTTATAAATAGCTCATCTTCCTCCATTCTTTCTAATAACCATCCGATTTCTTCTTCTTGTTCTTTTTTTTTTTTCTTTGATTTCTCAAATTCTTCTTCTGCAGTTTCACAAATTCAAATTGGTCTGAAGAATGTGATGAAAGTTGTCGATTATATGTGATGATTCTTAGATTCAATTGATCGATAAAAACTTCAACTCGCTACGTTCTTTCTGATTCTTCATCCCTTTTTATACAAAACAGTTTCCATAAGCTTTTTTTTTTTTTTTTTTTTTTTCAATTTTTGGTTATTTTAAATATAAATTCATAAAAGATAACATGTTGGAGAAATATGATGATAATAATCAGTAAATATCTTAGGACACCTTCTGACACAGTTTACTGTGTATGAGAAAGACTTGTTAATCTGATTCTCCATATGTTTTTCTTTCAAATCTTTATCAAACTGTTTTAATATCTTCAATATCCTTTTATCAGAATCTATTATATAATCATGAACAGAATACCAAAAACATATATGTATATGTAATGTACACATCTCTGTAATATATGAAGAAGTGTACATACATGTATGTACACAAAAAGACCAAACTCTATGATGAGTCTGTATAAATGTTATACACATCAATCTATTATAATCACAGAGCTTAGCTTTTTATAAGCCAACAATATTTAATCTCTATAATACAAACAAATTTTTCAAAATCTAGGAACCAGATAAGACTCTTCTTGATACAACAAGACTTGAATGGTTCTCTGTTTTTGTCCTCTGATGATAAAGATTCCAGCAAAATCATTCTGATACATGATTTAGTTTCTGCATTGTTTTGCTTTCTGTCTGGTGAAATCTTGGAGCTGTCGGTCGTGTTCTTCCAGCATTTGATCCACTTTTCTTGGCTGAGCCAGTAATGGACCGGACATATACATTTTGTTATCCCCTGAATCATACTATAGTGTATACAGAGAGATAAAGGACAATGTAAGTCAAAGACAGTTTCTGAATTGAGGGAAAAGAAAGAATCTCGTGAGATCACTTACCCAAGAAGGGTCATTAGGGATTTTGATTTGCCTTTTACTATTATCCATAGTGTCAGCTCTGTTGAATGCTCTCAATTCCTTCTTTTGCTGATCCATGATTTGTTGATCTGAGCCAACATAACCACCTCCTTGTCCTGCTGAGTTAGCTCTGTATGAAGGTATTCTAGGGGCTGCATTGTCCTTCACGTTTGTTAAGCGACTGAGATTCCGGTTTTTCATCATCGGACCTGAGTGAGAGACTCTTCCGCTTGTTGGATTGTTGCAGGTCATGTCTTTTGTATTGTGCATTTGTCTTTGCGAATTACCCGGAACACAGCTTCTTAGATAAGGATTCTGTATTGGCCAACAAGTTTTTTTAAAGTTAAGATTCTGATGGATCAGAGGCAACACCGAACCATAGCAGATCGAGCCTTTCTATTACCTCCACAGCTGTTGAAAGTGATGGATTATTAGCTTTTACTGGTGGGATAAGTTTTCTTTCGTGTGATCGTCTTGTTTGCGAGTCTTGTCTCTCATTCTTCTCCTGGGTGGGTCGTTGCCTTTTCGCGTCATCACGGATTTTAGCATCAATCTCTTTGCTGGGAGGATACTTTGGTAGAGAAGATGGATCACAAGCAAACGGCTCTGTTCTGAAATACTGATCCACAAGAACTGTGTTACTAATCACAATGCTTGTTTGAATAACAAAATCAAACATAAGTTAAACATGTACCTCACTCTCAAGAGCTCTAGCTGCAGAGCCTCTCTGATCGGGATCTATGGAAAGTAAAGCCTCCAAAAGCGAAAGAACATTCATCGGCAAGTCCTTAAACATCTCTGTTACACGTCGACCATATGGAAGTGCGGGTCTAAACGCAGCTGAAGGTGGTAGTTTCAGTTTCCTCCAGTAATCTTCTGTTGGTGAACCACATAGCTTGAAAATTTTATGCAGTTGCTCTACCTAGAAAAGATTAAATTATAAGTCAGATTTTAAGCTTATGGGTAGATGGGTTCTAGATGGATTTAAAGAGTGTATGTACCTCGGTTTTTCCTGCCAGGATCGGTTTCCCGGAGTATAATTCACCTAAGATACAGCCTGTGCTCCACAAATCAACCCCAACACCATAATGACAAGCTCCAAGTAGAAGCTCTGGGGGTCGATACCAAAGAGTCACAACACGGCTAGTCAATGGAACGCAGTTCTGTGGGTCGAAAAACGTTGCTAACCCGAAATCTGCAATCTTCAAGATTCCATTACTGTCAATCAGTAGATTTGATCCCTTGATATCACGATGCAGAACACCACGACTGTGACAATGATGAAGCCCGCTTAGAAGTTGTTGCATATAACATTTAACCTAAGCAGCAAAAGAACAATTTGATTGATGTCTACACAAGTTGATATACTGAGAAATAGGACACGTAAAAGCGTAGTAAAGGGATAACCTGAGGCTCTGAAAACTTGATACCGGGTATCGAAGCAAGTCCGACGAGATCATGATCCATATACTCAAAAACCAAATACAGAGAAGATGAAACAGAGGCAGTGATCAAGCCTTCTAATTTAAGTACATTAGGATGATCAAGCCTTCGCATTACTATGATCTCTCTCGCCATAAACTTAACACTCTCTAAATCGCTAAGATCAAACCGGACTCTTTTAAGCGCAACAATCTTGTTATTAATAAGATCACGAGCCTTGTATACACTGCTATATGTACCTTGGCCAATCTGCATCCACACAAGAAGCAAGCATTCATTAAACAAGATCATCACCAAATCAAATCGGATCGAAAAGGCGAATAACTTACTTTCTCCAATTTCTCAAAGGTACTAGCACGTCGTGGAGTCCAATTCACAAGTGCCTCACCAGCCACTGAGACTAACCAAGCTGGCCATCCTGCAGCCAATTCAGCTTCCTTTGAAACGGCTTCAGGACCGGGTCGAATCACAACACTAGGTTCTCTCTTCAACTCCTCAGGTGGATGATCATCATCTTCATCTTCATCTGTATCACCAATCTCAGCAATCTCCTGATGTTTCTCAGAAAACCTACTTGAACTGAACTTTTCAGATTCAATCAACCTAATTTTATTCGACCGATCTTGCTCCTCTTTATTTTGGCTAGAATCATCAATCCTCGACGAATTGATCCTCGAAGAACGCTTCTCTAATGATTCTTTCCATGGTGGATTCCTCTTTGGTGACTTCTTCTTAGAGATTATGCAACCCATAACGAATCAACAACAACAAGAGCAGCTCAAAATCCAAATCCCTAATTCATCCATAACAAAGACAACAACTTCACCATCCCTGAACACACACAAAGCCAAAAAAAAACAAAGACTTTGATGTCAAATTCAAAATCCAAAGAAAACTGAACCCAATTAAGAAAAAACCAAACCAATTCACACACTGTAGAACCCTAATTCCTCCATAGCAAAAAGACAACAACTTTCAATTGCTCAGCAAAGAAAAGAACGATCTTGATGAAAAATTCAATCTGATGATCAAATTGAAAGACTTTAAAGACAAACCCATGAAAGGGGAAGTGGAATAAGTGAGGATTTTGACCTTTTGGGGGAGAGACAATATTCAAGAGCAAGTGATGAAGAAAGGCTAAGACTTTAATGGAAGATGGAGATTGGAGAGAGGTATACGCAAAAATAAAAGTAGATTGGATTGTTTTTTCTTTGTTTCAGATTGGTATCATTTGACCGAAGAAAACACTGCATTGACACAGAGAGAGAGATGTGTATATAAACAATCTATATCTATACATACATATATTTCTGCAAACAGCTAACATAGCCGCCAACGTCAACGGAGAGAGATTTTTCTCCATCACTTATTTTCTTGGCTAAAATTAATTAATTCATATCTACTTCTTTGGAAAATAATGAGTTAAATGTTTATTTTTGCATACATTAATTGGTTTCAGTATTTATATACTTATATAATAATAATAAGTATATATAAAAAAAGGGGCTTTTGCAAAAATGCCACTTTTTCAATGCCACTTTTCAAAAATATCCTTTTTAAAAACCTTATAAAAAATGCTCTTAAAAATATAAGATTTACCCAAATATGTATGTAATATTATTAAAACATACACAAACTACATTTCTATGTATCTAAAATCTTATAAATACTTATAAATACCTTATAAATGCATTTTAAATACCTTTAAAAACTTTTAAAATATCTTGTAAAACTTTTGAAAAACCTTAAAAATCCTTTAAAATAACCTGTAAAACCTTTAAAAACACCTTATAAGACCTTATAAATACTGGATCGAGTCTTCAAGTAGTAGTTACAATCCATAAGTACCTTATAAACCTAATAAAACTTTATAAAAATTTCAGATTTAAAAAGGGGCATTTTTGAAAATGGACATCTAAAAAGGGCATTTTTGAAAAGGGACACACCAAAATGGGTATTTTTAACAATTTCTCCAAAAAAAAAAGCTAGGATGTGCATTATATATGTAGAGTCAATTTGGTTGAAGACTATATGTGGAGAAATTTTTTAAGTAGATGATAATAAGAAAAAAAAAACAAATTTAGTAAATAGAAATAAAACAAAATGAAGATTTTCATAGTTCCAATTTTATCATTTATTAAACTCTTTTAGAATAATAAAAACTCTTTTATAATAATAAAATTTTCTATGTATTTGTTATTTAACTTTTATTTGGAATAATAAAAGTTTATCATAACATGTTATTTTTAGTAGATGTTTAATTGATCATAATATCATATAGTATTTTAACAAAAACTAATCATATATTCGAAATCTTAAACTCTTAGATCTATCTAAAAATTTGGATTCCTACTTAAAAATAACATGTTACAAGAAAAATATCGTCCTTTTTAACTTTTAGAAAAATAAAAGATAAAAGAAGGTAAAACTATTCAATTGCGTTTAAAAAGAAGATAAACAATCATTTTGTTTACTTTTGCTATTATTAATATCATGTTATCCCACTAATCGGAATTGGCTATGGATCGAGTCTTATCGATCTAAAGAAATTAAAAAAAAAATTGCTTCTGAGTTTAATGTCATCCAACCTAACTCTTCTTATAGATATAACTTGGTTGTGTAGGACTCTAGAAATGTCAACTAGGTCATCCAACCTAACTCTTCTTATAGATATAACATGGATGAGTAATAATTATAAATTTTAGATGTCAAAAGAGAAACGGGTTTTGGGATAGTCTGATGTCAGAGACAACATAATGTTTAAAATATTGCAACACTACATTCAGAGTTAGAATCGTATTTGAACCATAAAAGGTATCCACGAGCTAATTAGTTTGATTGCTATAATGGAAAATGTAAAAGAATTAATTGAACGCTATGCAAAAGTTAGAAACGTCTTTTTGGACCATAAAACTGTATTTGCAAGCCAATTTTGATTGTTTGAAATTAATAAAGATGATGATTTCGTCTTTCGAATTTATTTAAACATTAATTATACGGCACATTCAATTGATTATTAACCGTCTTGAAAATCGAAGTTGACGATTTAATTTTATGAAGTCTTGATTTATTAATTTGACGGTTCGTTGATAAATGGTAAGCTTCAACGGTGCTTGCTCCTGCTCTCGTTGCTATACATCCTGTCGTGCAGCAACAACAACTATAATTTTTGCAATCAATAAAAAAAACTAATTGCAATTTAATTATAAGCTTTGTAACCCTTAAAACCCAATATTAAATTGACAAAAAAAAAAATATCTTTTAAAGTTAATTTAATTATAAGCATTGTAACCCTTACATCCAACTACTCTATAAAGTTGATACTAATATAATAATTTACCAATCATAAACCGTTGGAGAATTAGGATGAGAGGGTTTGTCAAAGACATTAGCACCAATCTCCCTTGTGGTCACATTACTTGCCGGATGAAATACACTCCTCCACACATCCACTTTCCGACCAGATCCTGGTGTCACCGGAGTAGCCGGACTCGCCGGAAGAGATACCGATCCGGCCACTGACATTCCTTCTAAACCCCCACATATGTAACATTCCGATTAGAACAATTTATAGATTAAAATGATATTACAATTAGAATAATATGATATGATTAAATTATTGACTGTTCCAAAATTTTACCTTTCATCATGAATGGTAACCATTCTTTGGGGAAAATTTTATTGTTAAAAAAAGTTAAAAGAAATAAATCATCTACTATATTCAAGAAGAATTAGTAGAACAAAAGTTTTCCTTTATTATCCTAAATATATTCATTTTTTTCTAACTAATTCCGCTAATGCTTACTATTTCTTAAATATTTTGGTTCACCTGTGGTATTGTTCAAGCTAGTTAAACCGGTGGAGATTCGCCGGAGATGGCCACGGCCACCGGCTTCAGGTCGAGGACCAGCCACAACGTCATCCCATAGGTTTTCAAGTACACCCATATTTTCTTTTGCTTAGAGAGATCTTCTTTTTCATGTCTCTCCTTTAAATACTTGACATGATCGGTTTGGTTTGATTTGAATTGGTCCGGTTTAGGAGATTGTGGGAGCTGGTCTCTTGCAACAATTTGTCCGTGTCCTTTGGAGATAAATTTGAAGCTTTCAAGAATTTCAAAATTAGATTTACTTTTCACTTTCAGCCAGCCCCGGCTCAATATATTTGAGAGTCTTAGGGCAAAAAAATTTTTTTTTGCCTATTATTATATACAAAGAGAAAATTTACTTAATTTTAAAAAATTTTGCGGAATTTTTATAGTAAAAATTGTTATTTTAAAAATTTTGGACATTTTTATACATTTTCTTATAAATAATTAGGCCTCTTAAAATATAATTTTCATATTAATAATATTTTTAAAAAATATTTGGGCCTTTTTTATATGCAAATTTTTTTATAAAAAAAAAAAGCCCCGGGCCGTCATACCTCCATCTGAGCCGGGGCTGCTTTCAGTTCTCGTATATATATACAAACAATATTTGTATACAAATTAATTAAAGCGTACCTTTTTAAATTAAATCATAATCATTTCTTATGTTCCTCTCTTCTCTCAGCTTTTTAGCTCTCAAGCTTCTTAAACAGTACTCCATCTTTAGGGAGAAGGTAAAAGTAAAAAAACAGAGAGTTGAAAACGTGAAACGCTATATTTAACTTAGAGATAAAACAGAGGAAAACAGAGTTTTACAGTACCGTTAGTACTTGAAGGCTCTTTACTTGGGTGTGAAGATGCATCTTTCTCTATGAGTGTCCTTGTCAAGGGTCTCCCGGATGAACCGTAAGATAATCGAGACCCACTAAAAAACCTTTCAACGCTACAACGAACTAGTAATTAAGCCAAACATCGTTTAATACTAAATGAGATAGATCCTAGACATAACCAAAGAGCTCAACCCCGAACTAACAAAGTAATATAGTCGAGGAAGAGAAGCAACAGCCCAAACGAGGGAGACGACAGCCCAAACGAGGTAGACAATTAAACATGAGCAACTGATGAAACCAGATCGAAAGTGGATACAGTCTGATCAGATCAACCAGGGAACACAACTTTGTCCTCTCTCTCAAAAAGCTTATATTATTATGCATGAAAATAAATAATTCGAGCTCATAACCGTGACTTATTCCTGGTTCTGGGAATTATTAAGAGAACCGGAATAAACCGAGACATTCCCTAGGTTTAAAAACCTTAATTACTACAAAATAGAGTTATGGTCACCAATTCTCGCCCGTAACAAGTGGTGGTGGTGACTCAGCATGATTGGAGAGAGTCTCATGCCTTTGGGATAGCGAATTAACACACTTCTCACGTTAGTAGGTTAGGCGTGATAGCACATCCTGGACAAAAGAATGGTCTTAGTGCTGCTAGGATGACTGATCATCTCAGAGGTCAAGATGCTGATTCAGCCGCCAAGGACGACTAGAGTTAAACATGCACTATGTTTCTCGTTTTCTTTATTTCCCGTTGTTGACTGTGTTTTCTTTTATATTATGCATGAAAATAAATAATTCGATCATTACTGTAACTTAGTCCTGGTTCTGGGAATCATTGAGCTAACCGGAATAAACCGGGAAAAGGTTTTCCCTAGGTTTAATGAAAAACCTTTTAAGTATTAAACGAATAGAGAATAGGTCACCAATTCTCGCCCAGATCAAGTGGTGGTGACTCAGCATGACCTGAGAGTCTCACCAGGGTTCGAGTAATTGGTACCCTCCCGCTCATTGTAACTGTTTCGCTTCTCTCCTTCCAAACGAGAGTGTCTGGTGTTGTGGGAGATGAATGACAGAGGAGTTTAGGCCACCGTAAGTGGTTTCAGCAACAACCTCCGTGGAGTTTAATCTCCCGGACGTGCTAAAACTACCCTCGTCTGGTCTTGGGATTGTCTATCACAGAGAATCATGCCTTTGGTGGTAGGCGAATTGAGGTAATCCAAAGTACCTCTTTTTATTTTATTTTTCCAAATTAGATGGTAGATGATATAATGCTCTATATGATAAAGACCTATTTGCTAGTAACGGTTACAAACGCTGTTGATCGCTGCCGATTTCAGCAACTATTTGATTTACATGTGGTATTCTTTAAGCAACGTTAAGTTTTAGTCCAAAAGTGGGTTACAAACGCTGTTGATGCCAGCGTGTCTTAGCAAAGGCCATGAGTTAGATATATACATATATTGAAACAAAACAGGAAACGGTATATTCATAACCTAATTGGAGAATTAAAGTCCCAAGTCGAGAACACTAGTACGTAGTAAGGAACATAAACTCATGATGGTTTCTGAAATTATGAAGTGCCATCTTTACTTTGAAAATAACTCCATCTTTGTTTACTCTTACTTTTACATATCAACAACTAAACCAAAAGAGTCTTTTCAAACCTTTAAGAACATAATCTTCTTTCTTTGAATTTGCTAACACTTCATTTACTTTATCCTTAGTTTCACTTTCTTCCGCTTAATCTTTCGTATTCTCTTTCATATCATAGGCTTTGTACTTAGCTTTCTCTTTCACATCACAGGCTTTATCAGATGCTTTGCTCGCTCCTTCATTCACATTATCATTGGCCTCTTCCGCATAATCTCTTTCATATCATAAGCTTAAAAAAGTCCCTGATCGAGCAAAACCAAGGAAACAGAGTACTTTCACAGAACCGATAGCACTTGAAGGCCTTTACTTGGGTGTGAAGAAAACTGTTATTAAAAGTCAAACATTGTTTTTTTTATAAGCTTCAATCATGGTTCCTTATATTACGAAGTAAGATTCAAACCTAGCAAAATTGTAACAAAGACATAAAATGAAGGTAGAATGAGGGTTTGTTTGATATGAATATGATAAGAGTGATTTGGCTCTTTGTTTTTAATCCTAAATTGAAAGTTTAAGACATGTGAGAAAAATTAATGTTAGTGTTACATTCGAGTGTTTTTTTTTTTTTTTTTTTTTTTTTTTTTTTTTTTTTTTTTTTATAAACCCTATCGGCTATCCGGTCGGCCCCGGTAGGAACGCACCGAGGTGCTACGTAGTGGACTGGTCCACCGTGTTAACGGTTAGGCCCTTACGGACTACCACTCTGCCTATTCCGAGTTCAGAATGCCTTCCGACTAAGTGCTATGGTAGTCAGGCCGCCTGCATTTCTGGCTACCAGGTAAACCAATTGGGCCAAAGCCTAACTGACAGACTTCTCAAACAAATGTGTTTTTTTGTTTCCAGGGAGAATCGAACTCAGGTTTGGGAGTTTCACCCTTTCCCAAAGCTTCCTCTGCCACTAGACCACATATGCTTGGGCTTGTGTTTCTACCTTTACCACCAATGAAAATTGGTATATGAATATCAGAGAAGTTTGGCTAGTCTCCATCGGTCTGATATATGCTAGAATATTAGAGTGTATATAGTTGGTTTAGTTATGGTTTAGATTGGTTAGTATATTTGGTTTAGTTTAGCTTGTATTTAAGCTTGTTTTGTATCACCATTTACACTTAATGAAGATTATCACAAATATTGAAATAGAAGAGTTTATTAACTCCGTGCCAAGTTTAGACGTAAACTTGGTGTGCTCCCGGGATCTTCCTGGTTCATGGTCGTCGGGTTGTGTCTTTCACAGGGAATCATGCCCCTGGAGGTAATCTTAATTAATTACCTCCTTTTTTTTTTAAATAAAAACTTATTTTAGTTTATTTTATTTTAAATGTTTATCTAATTATATAAAACTAACAGAAAAGAAATATTGGAAAAACACCAAAATAGAAAAATATTAAAAAGCAAACTTATTAGCTTGATATAAGAGTAACTGTACAAAAACAAGAATAAATAATCTTATATGCACTCTTTTTTTTTTTTAAATAAAAACTTATTTTAGTTTATTTTATTTTAAATGTTTATCTAATTATATAAAACTAACAGAAAAGAAATATTGGAAAAACACCAAAATAGAAAAATATTAAAAAGCAAACTTATTAGCTTGATATAAGAGTAACTGTACAAAAACAAGAATAAATAATCTTATATGCACTCTTTTTTTTTTTTAAATAAAAACTTATTTTAGTTTATTTTATTTTAAATGTTTATCTAATTATATAAAACTAACAGAAAAGAAATATTGGAAAAACACCAAAATAGAAAAATATTAAAAAGCAAACTTATTAGCTTGATATAAGAGTAACTGTACAAAAACAAGAATAAATAATCTTATATGCAATTCATAGTATAATAACATATCAAATTTCATACTATAAATTTTTATCAGATTTATTCATAAAGAAATCCAGAATCCGTAAACTATAAAGAAGGGATTATTGTCTATATTGGCATTTTTGGGCCAAATCTTTTACCTATGCCATTTTAAATCTGGGCTTGTGGATTTGCCATTTTGGACCTCATGCAATGACGTTTTTGCCCTTGTCTTCAACCTTTGGCTTTCATTTCGTTTTTGCTTGATTTGCCGACCACAATTGCTTGCCGACCACCACCGTCGTGCTCCAACGACGCATCTCCTTTAACTTCATCATCACTTTTGTTTACGATTTACCAAACGTCATCGCCACCAACACTATTTCTTTGGACGAATTTAATGATTTTGAATGAAAAAAGCTAAACCCTAGATAATGGCTAGTAAACCCAAGGGCTTCAATAATAAACATAGATGTAATCAAAACTTCCAATTTATCTTCAAATCTAAACCAAATTTGAAAATTACAATCACATATTTATGAAGCTTTGAGTTTTTTTGTTTTTTAATTTCTCTTGACAAACCAAAACCCAAAGAAAATGAGATTAGTTTAAAAGCTTTCGTCTTTTGGTCTTGTTTAAGCAGGAGTTGTCACCAGATCTCGTCGTGGAGAAGACTAGATCGAGAGATCAATTTTGTTTTAGGATTTTGTGGAAGAACAAATTTAGATTTTTTCAGAATATCAAGAAGCAATCAATTGAAGACAAAAGGGAATTTAATACTTTGGGATCGCTCATGGACGGAACCGGAAGAGAAGCTGCGGCTATGGAGGTGTGCTACAAACGATCTTCAGAGCTCAAGCCCATCTAATTTAAACCTAACTGTTCGATTAGGTCCAAGAAAGCAGAATAACAGAGAAGAAGATCAGATTTTGTGACGGCGAGGAAGGGAAGAAAAGCGAAACTTTGATTTTTATTCTTCACAAGCTGTTTTTTTTTTTTTTTTGATAAAAAACTCAGAATTCTGTGGGCAGGACAATTTCGTCTTTTGGAGCAGCTGACAATGGCAAACTCACAAACTGTTGAAAAAAAGGTCAAATTCAACAAAGACCACTCTAGAAAATGGCTTTCTCGTAATTGATTCCTATAAAGAAATATAAATTGTGAACTAGTATAATATGTCTAAGCAATATGGGTGACCATGGGTGAGACAATCACATATTTTGTATATAAAATAAACCCGGTTTATGTGTTATCTCGGTCATGATGGTTGCCCTTTATTGTATAAGCATGTATCCATGTTTGTTGCATTGCGGCTAACAAGGCTTTTGTTTCAGCTATCAATGGTGTTAGTGCGCCATTCAAATGTATCGATCCCCATACCTTTGCTACTCCTTGATGATCGCGTATAATCCATCCTCCTCGAGCCTGGAAAGACGAAGTATCCAATCCCGCATTGAAATTACATTTTACATGAGAAGAGTCTGGCTTTGTCCAGGAGAGTGACTCCGTTGGTGGACGTGGTTTGGAGAATAAACGGAGTTGTGATGTCGCATTGTTCTGCCATTCTCTAGATTCTGCTTTTGCTTTGAGGACCACATTAGAGGAACTTTCTCTGATTTGGTTAAACACTAAGTTATGTCTTGCTTTCCAAATCCGCCATAAAAGCCAAAATGGGATAAGTTTCTATTCATTTGTTGGATTGGGATGATGAAAGTAATCAAGCAATGTAGAGGGATCAAGGTTCGAAAGAAAGGAGAGTGAATGACATAGAAGATAAAAACGTAAAACGCTATATTCAAACGACAAACAAAGGAAACAAAGTTTTACAAAGCGAAAGCACTTGAAGGATCTTTACTTGGGTATGAAGAAAACAGTTTCATTAACAGTCAAATATTCTTTCTTTCTTTTTTCTTTTAATCATGGTTCCTTAAATTTAGACTTTGACGATCTATCTCAAACCTAGAAGAGTTGTAGCAAGGACATAAAATTAAAGAAGGCAGAATGAGAGTTTGTTTTATTATAATGATTGACGGATTAGGTTCTTTGTTGTTAATCCCAAATTGAAAGTTTAAGACATGTGAAAACATTAATGTTAGTGTTACACTCAGGAAGTTAAGAAAGAACTTGAGTTGATGTGGCACATTTTTTTCTTTCTTTTTTTTTTTAAGCTTCAATCATGGTTCCTTAAATTACGAAGTAACAAAGACGTAAAAAGAAGGTAGAATGAGGGTTTGTTTGTTTGATATGATAGACTGATTTGGTTCTTTGTTTTTAATCCTAAATTGAAAGTTTAAGACATGTGAAACACACATTAATGTTAGTGTACACTCGAGAAATGGAGAACGAACTTGAGTGATATGTGGCACAATCTTTTGTCCCAAGTGGATGCAGGGCTCAAGGCAGGTAACGCGTACCACAAGTACCGTGCGAAGAGAAACTCATGACCTAAGGTTCGTGGCGTGGCTATGAACCCAGTGGAGCATCCTCATGGAGGAGTTAACCATCAACACATAGGTTCAAGCTAGTACGGTTAGGCGTGATGCATCTCCGAGGAGGACTGGTGGTCTCAGAGGTCAAGATGCTGCTTCCGCCGGCAAGGCCGACTAGAGTTAAACATAATCTTTGTTTCTTGTTTTCTTTAGTTCATGTTTTGTTCTTTGTCGTCCCTCTCGAAAAGCTTATATATTATGCATTGCAAATTTTCAGCAACAGTTTTGATTATTGTTGAAGCTTTTAATGTTGTTCTCTTTCCGAATCTTTTGTTTCTATATGTAAAAAATTCTATCGCAAATGCATTTATTAATTCCTTGTTCCTGAACCATATTAAAAAAACGGGAAAAACACATTTTTAACTCTTAAAGTGTTATTGGGTAGCACTTTAAACCTCAAAAGAATTTCACTAGCACTATAAACCACCAAGATAATTTTACTAACACTTTAAACCTCCAAACTAGCTTTTTTGTTTGTCCCACCATAAAAAATGATGGAAAATTTAATTTCTATTTGTTTAGTAGATATTTATTTAATTTCATTTAAATTTAAATTAATTTTATTAGTTATTACAATTAATAAAAATATAATAAAACTTTAATTTAAATTTAAATTCATTTTATTATTTATTACAATTAATAAAAATTCAAAAAAAAACAAAAAAAATAAATTCACCTTCTTTGTTTACTCACCGTTCGATCATAAAATTTCGAAATTAAACCTCTGAAACTTTAGATTTAAGCACAAGAAAAGTTTATAGTATAATAATATACACCAAATAATGTAGAATATGAGGTACAAGAGAAGCTTGAATACAATAATAAAAACTAAAAAATGTCAAAATTTTGTGAGAAAACAAAGCATTCTCTGTATCGGAGGAATCTAATTTTTTTTTACGTTTCTTAATAATCAAAAAATCATAATAACTAATAAAATTAATTAAAACTTAAATTAAATTAAATTTTATTCCTTAAAAAAACTGGAATAATCGTTGTATTAAGTATTAAACAATTGAAAATTGGTCACCAATTCTCGCCCAGCTAAAGTGGTCGTGATTCAGCATGATTAAAGAGTCTCACCAGGGTTCGAGTAACGATATTGGTACCTGGAAAGAGTAGTACATCTTTCCCACGGAAATTGGCAATATGAAGATCAGAGGAGATGAGCTAGTCTTCGAGGACGGTCTGTCATGTCAGAGGAGTCTCCTGCCTCCTGGCCAAGTTTAGACGTAATCTTCCCGGCCACCCGGCCACGACGGTCGTCGGGTTGTGTCTATCACAGGGAATCATGCCTCTGGAGGTAATCTTAATTACCTCTTTTTTGAAAAACAAATCTTATTTTATTTTATTTTAAATGTTTATCTTATTATATAAAACTAACAGAAAAAATATAAATTCTAAAATTAATTTACGTGCGTATATCTATATAAAAACACCAAAATAAAAAAGTTATAAAAAAAATTTATTAGCTTGATATAAGAGTAATTGTACAAAAAAAGAATAAATAATCTTATATATATAATAATTTCCTACTTTATTTTTTATCAGATTTATTCATTATTTATTCTTTTGTTATATAAAAAAATTATAATAAACGTAGTTAATTCTTTCAATGAAATTTTGTTTACTTCTTTAGTGATCACGAGATAATTAGAGATAGATTTTAGAAGTCAATAAAATATAAAGATGATAAATTAGAAAAATAAATGTTTTATATAATAATAAGGTATTCAAACAAAAACAAACTAGAAAATGTTAATATAAAAACAAACAAAAATGTTAATATAAAAAAAAAACAAACAAAAATGTTAATATGCTTCAGAGTCCTCTTTTTTTCTTCGAATAATTTTCTAGATAAATTCTTGTAAATCTGAAACAAAAATAAAAACAAACTAGGATATGACCCGCGGTACACCGCGGGTTAATTATTTGATTTGTTTTATCCTTTTATAAATTGATGAATTTGTTGTATATAGTATTTTTTGTTGTACACCACGAGTCATATGCGTTGTAACTAAGAAATAAAATTTTTAAGTTGTATTTGTTTTGTTTAGTGTTTAAAATTGTATAATTGTATTTTGATTTGTTAATCCTAGGATTTCACATGTAGTATATTATTCCGTATTAATGTCGATCCAAACCCGTCTCACCATATAATCCCATCCCGTGAAATTAAACATCATTTTGTTATTTTTTTAATTACACTTTTATTTAAAAGACATATAATTCGAGTTATAATAGTTCTAAATTGCAAATACTTGCCAATATTAATTAAAAGTTTAAAATCAATGCTTGCACTGTGATATTACGTAAAAATTTAGTATCACAAATAAATAAAAACAAAATTCACATTTTGAATTTATATGTTTTTATGATTCCAAAAAATATTATAATGAACATATAATAAAGCATTCGATTAGAAATAAACCATGTTGGAGTTACATATAGACTCAATATTTACACCATCCAACTTATACTCTTTTCAAAATGTAAATTTTGGATTTTTAATCAAAAATTGCAAAACACATTCCGTTTAGCTACTATTTTGTAATGATTGGACACGGAATTATTTACATCACTAAAACATGTATTTTGTTTTGGTAGGAATTTCACTAAAATATGGTTAAACCATGCCTTTTTGTTCTGATATAAGTTTTTTTTTTCCGTCAATTTTCCCTATTTAATCAGTTATCAGGCCCACCGACAAAAAAAAATCAGTTACCAGGCCCTATAACCAATAATAGAATGCTGGTCAAAACTGATTCAACATGTAAATTGGGAAACATTAAAGTTGGGCCTGATGTTTATGGCCCAATAATAAGGCGGAGGAGAGTTCTCTCACTCGCATCATCATCTTTTAATCTTCCGCTTCAATTCTAAATCTCCCGGCGAAGAAAATAACCGGCGAATTTCACGGAGAAACCTCGCCGACGAAGCCAAGTTATGGCAGTCCTGGCTGCGGTGGCAGGATCACGACCGTGGAATGCTTTTATTCAAGCTTTATTTCTGATATCTCTATCATTTCCCATTCCCTCCAGCGCTTACCGACCTGGAGATATCGTCCGGATGAGCAAGATGGGGCAATATCACTCTGTTCGTACTCCTCCTCTTTACAATTTAGCTGAGATTACTTTCTAATTTGATGGACACTAAAGGATCTGTTGATTCTTTGGCAGTCGAGAATCACTTGGCATGATGTGATCGGAAAACATTGCCCGATCTTCGCCGTTAATCGCGAGGTACTGTGTGTAATTAGGTTCCAGAAATTTGATGGAGAATTAGATTGAATCTTGTCTTTCTTTGCCAATTTTTAGGTTTTGATCCCCATAGCGAAACCAATTGGCTACACATGAACTGATCCTTATAAGATGTGAGAATTTTAGTGGTTTGATTTTGATTTTGTATAGCTGTATTTGGAGCTTTTGAATTGAGATTGACGGATTTTTTTTCATTTGCACAGAGATATTTTTGAGGAGATCTGCTTGTAGTCACAGCTCAAGTTGTTAATATGCCTCATAGCTCAAATTGTTAAAAAGAATAATGATAATATAGACTCAATTTTAGAATCTTGCTTACACATCAGCCAACACCATGTCCAAGGTCTCACCAAATCTTGTTGTGTATGATTTTCAGGTATGAAGGACCCTCACTTCAGCTTGCCATTTTGTCGTGTAAGGTTTATCATCTCTAAGAAATGCAAAGGAAGCCGTCACTGCTAGAGTTGATGAATGGAGGAGAATATGAAGAAATGAGGTAATTGCTTGATGATGTAGAAAATTGAAAGAATATAAATATTTATAGAGAACTTAGATGTCTAGGGTTAAGGTCAAATCGATTTGAGAAATATCGTGTGGAGAGAAGTAGAATATCTAAGATACGGGAAACTAAAAATGGATTCTTAGATTAATCACAATGAATGTGACAAAATTTTAAGGGAGGATTAGGATTTGGTGAAGTAACAATATAGATCCTATTGAATATGATGGAAGATTGTAGATAATTTGTTTAGGAAATCTTGATTTGATCGAATATGTAGAGAGAATATGCTTTAATTAGATACCAAAATTAATGATTCGATAGGATTTGCATTTACTGTGTAATATACTTAGCCAAGATTTCGGGTAAAAATCTCAAATAAGGTAAGATCCGAGATTGATTTTTCCGGGTCGAAATAAATGATTTCCGGGTCAAAATTTTGACCCGATTAGGGACCCCAAAAACTGTTGCAAAAATGTATAGTAGACTAGAAAATCAAAGGATAAGTCGAAGACAACCATTAAAGGATTAATCGCCATCACCAACCAGAGATCCTATGAAATTATTAAAAAAAAAACAGTAAAACACAGATAAAAGCCGGAAAAAATTAGCGATCAAAGATGTTGATGAAACCATCTATACCGGAGCGAAGCGAGCCGTTGTAAATAAAAGAACCAAACGTCGCCCAACAAAAGCCGACCTAATCACCAATAATTCCATTAACCTTTCTTTTTCCATTAAAAGGTTACAGACTCCGAATACCCTACTATAAAACTCAAAAGTGCCATCTTTATTTTGATTATAACTTTTACACATAAAGGAGATATCAATAAATTACAATAAGGATCAAGAGCTCGTTGTTAAAATAATTTGGACTTCCATACATTATGAGGACCTTTCTTTTCGTTTTGCCTTCATTGTCTCATTCTCTGTAGTTAATCTTTCTGGTTAATACTTTGATATGTTTAATATTTGACATATGTGTAGACAGCTGTTCCTTATGTTCATGTCATTCTCCTTAGCTGTGGAAGCTCTTCATGCATTTATACAAGATGAATCAGAGCACAAGTAAGTTGCTTTTTCACAACTGGCATGCCTAGGAGTTTCTAGATATTTCTCTAGCACTTACTAAGTTTACAGTAATTGTTCCCTCTTGATCCTTACTGTAATTACTTATAAAACAACCTATAAAAGCCAAAAGAGAGTTTGTTAAAAACCTTTAACACCCTACTATAAAAAGTTTCTGAAACAGAGCTTTTTAAACATACAACAAAAGAAAATTAAAGTACAAGATGATTAGTGAATTTAGAACCTCTTGAAATCATCATCCTTATCCCGATTTTCATTCGCCTTTTTCGAGAGATCCTCCAAGCCTTTATCAACATCATCCCTAGCCCTATCCGCCTCCTCACCGGACCCAACCACAGCCTCAGTTACCTTTTGAGCCGTGCTCTTCGCCGTCTCCCACACATCTTTCACAGTCTCCTTAGTCTTCTCCCCAATATCTTGAGCCTTTTCTTTAAACCCATGTGCCATATCCTCTGCTTTCTCCTTTGAGTCCTCTGCATAGTCCTTGGCTTTATCTTTTGTTTCTTCTGCTTTATCCGCAGCTCTATTCGCTCCTTCATTCACCTTATCCTTAGTTTGTTCCGCATAATCCTTCGTTTTCTCCTTCACATCGTAAGCTTTATCCTTAGCCTTCTCTTTCGTCTCGTAAGCTTTATCAGCTGCTCTACTTGCTCCTTCCTTGACTTTATCCTTAGTTTCTTCTGCGTAATCTTTTGCCTTCTCTTTCACATCATAGGCTTTGTCCTTAGCCTTCTCTTTCGTCTCGTAGGCTTTATCAGCTGCTCTACTTGCTCCTTCATTGACTTTATCCTTAGTTTCTTCTGCGTAATCTTTTGTCTTCTCTTTCACGTCATAGGCTTTGTCCTTGGCCTTCTCTTTCGTTTCGTAGGCTTTATCAGCGGCTCTGCTTGCTCTTTCATTCACTTTACCCTTAGTTTGTTCAGCATAATCTTTCGTTCTCTCTTTCACATCGTTAGCTTTGTCTTTAGCTTCCTCTTTTATCTCGTGGGCTTTCTCTTTGCCTGCTTCTGCGTATTCTCCGGATTCTTCTCTCCATTTCTTCGAATCATACGCCAAATCGGCCCTCGAGTCTCTCGCTTTCTCTACCGGATCATATCTTCCCTGAAAACCAAGAACCATTGATCATTTCCAAGAGTTTCATATTACTTGATATATATATATATATATATATATATATATATCTCGTCACACATATTGACCTAATACCAGCTTATTGAATCGTTAATAGTCTTGTGTAAATCTTATATAAAAGATAATAAGATTAAAAAAATATCAGAACCATAAATCATTCTTCAAAGTTTCAGATTCCATTTGTTTTCTTGTCGAACACGTTAGCTTATTAATACCAGTTTGCTAAATTCAGAAGAATGTCAATAGATACAAATTATCACATAAAACAAAAAAAATCCAAAATAATAAATATATACATATTTTTATTGAAGAAAATAAAGATCTCACTTTACATATACACAATTTGTTGTTTTTAATAACAAAATAGTTTTGGATATCAAGATCATTTGTGAATGAACTAGTTCATTTACAAACACGCATATATAAAAACCGGTTATACATCGATCTGTTTTAATGACCATATCGTAATTAGTAATTACCTTAGAATGGTTAACCGACGAGGCAAAAAAGACACGAGAGCTTTTCCGACCAATCACCACCGCAAGAGTTCTCGGAGCTTGGCTTTTGGGGAAAGCCTTTGAGAGACCGAAGAAAACAGTTCTCGTTAGTTGCATAGCCGCCATGTTCATCAATCAAAGAAACAATTTCTTCTTCTTAATTTGGCTTTATAAAATGTATTTGTCTGAATTTGTCGATCGGTAGTCTCTCTTCTTGCATTATCTATGTTGCGAACTTATAGAAAACATTTAGGACAGCTGGCAGTACGAATTTGACACGTGTTGCTATCGTCACACGTGTCTAACAAGTGATAACTAAACTACTATGGTGCGTTATCTAACAAATCTGGTGTATTATATTGAGTAGGTACCGTTGGATTTAGATGGAGGATTCTCAAGATCGACGTCTGTACGCAAATGAGAGAATGCGAAATTACCTCATGGTCAGATTTTAGGAAAAAAATTTAAATAACGTTTATAAACTTTAAGATAAAGAGACGATAGAAGTGTGATTTTAAAATAGGGTGCTTTAGCTGAGAGACAAATTTGGGAGAGTAAATTAGATAAAAAGACAATAGTCTAAGACAATGGATAAGCTACTTTAGAATTGGGTCTGAAGTTCAAAAAAATTATACAAAAACCAGTCTTGATTCTTGAATATTATCATGCGCGTGAAAATAACGTAGTTGACTTTTTGGACAAAAGCATTTAGTTCTGACATATATTTAATGTAAGTAGACATTTATTGACAGTGAGACTAATATTAATCGGTGTTTTCTCTAACTAGAGAAGTTTTCGCACGCTATAAACATATATTACATGTCATTAACATTTGTACACATGTTAACACATATATAAAGCGTTTAAAATAGTTATAGTATTAAGTTATTCGATCTATATATATATATATGCAAATATATATATATTTGTGCAAATATATATATAGAGCGTTATTAACATGGACATAACATAAACATGTACATAGAGGGTTAAGTTTATTTATATGCATATAAACACGTACATAAAGCGTTATTAACCTTTGTATACATATAAACACATATATAGAGCATTATTTAGAGACCAAAGTATCATTGGAATCATAAGTTTCGTCGGATTTTTCAAAGATTTCGTCTGTTTTCGTCGAATTGTCACCGGAATTTTCGCTGGATTCCATCGACTTGTCACCGGATCTGCATCAAATTCTATCAAGTCATCACTATATCTTAGGTGTGATTCGTCATCCCAATAACATTGATTAGATTCCATCATCGCTAGCGGGTTTCCGTCGTTGAACCAACGTCATCGAATCATCAAATGTAATCACAATTTCTTTCGTATAGCAAATCTGTTACTAGAGACGAGAACTAACGAGATGCATGATAAATCTTGAATAAATGAAAAATCAATTACGATAAATTCCAAAACTCAATCATGTTTAATAATTTAAAAAGATAAGAGAGAAAGAAGAGAGCAAAAATCTTTTTTTTTTTTCTCGAAAATAGAGCACTATTAACATAAATAGACAACCAAAAAGTCGAGAAAAGTAAACGAAAACAATTATATCTTGGCTAACTAAGTTTGTAGAGTTAAAAAAACACGCTTTTCCATCTCGAAAAATGATCAAAAATCATTCATTTGTCTCAGGTAATAGGTTGACTATGAAATGAGATAGTGGGGCGCGTGAGGTTAAAATGGACAAAAAAGGTGGCTAAAATTACCATTGTTATGGATTTTACTAAAAATCTAATTTTTCTCTGATTTCTTGTCTCCCAGCTAATTTGTTCTTTAAAATAATATCAAGGGATTCTACACATAAAAATTGTGCTAAACAGAGAGAAAAAACAACATTTGATTATAATCTGAAAAACCGAACCGAACCAAAATAAATAGTTTAGTTTGGTTATTGTTTCGCATAAACATCTATTTGGTTATAATTTTTATAAAGTTTTCGGTTTAAGTTTGGTTTGGTTAAAAACCGTAAAACCGAATGTTTTTTTGGTTTTTTTTAATTAAAATTAGAAATAATTATATGTAAATATATTGTCTAGTTTATATAATGATTATTAGTAGTATCATTAATTTTTTTAATTCGGCTTATAATTATCAATTTTTAGTAAAATTTAGAAAAAAACTTAAGAATAATAGAAAAATCTATTGAATTACATCAAATTTACTTATAATTATCCATCAAATTAATATATTTATTTTGTAAAAACATGGAATAAACGAAAAAACCTTAACCAAACCGAACCGAGATATATATAATTTTTACATGATTTCAATATTTATATAACCGTAAAATCATAAAAACCAAACCAAATTACATACGGTTTCTATGTGGTTTCAGTTTTTGTAAAACCGAAAAATTTGAATGGAGACCAAACCGAAAAACCGTACGCCCACCCAAATAGGATGACCAAACGTAAAGTTGTGGATCAAAGTCAAGAAAATTATGCATTTGAAATTCTCCAAAACTTCATTAGATGCAAAACAATGCCATTTGAGAAACTTTAGAAGGATGAATATACGATCTTTGTTATTTCACAAACCCTTAGATTTAGTATTTATATAACCTAGACTTTCCTGATTCTAAGGAGATATGAACTTATCTAGAATGGAAAATATACAATTCAGAAGATATCGAATATACATCTAATATTCGTCTAATACCCCCCTTCACGTTGGAGCGTGTAAGTTTTGAACGCCCAACTTGAGTAGAAATGCATCGAACTCTGCTTTGCCCAATGCTTTAGTAAGTATATCAGCTAGTTGAATTGTCGTGGAGACGTGAGACGCGTCAATGTTACCCTTAACAATCTCGTCACGAACAAGATGACAATCTTTTTCGATATGCTTGGTTCTTTCATGGAAGACTGGATTTGAACTTATGTGTAATGCCGCTTGATTGTCGCAGAACACTGTCATTGGTTTGTCATGAACAATGCCAAAATCCGAGAGAAGTGCTTTAAGCCATTTGAGTTCCCTTGCGAGTTCTGACATAGAACGATATTCTGCCTCTGTGGAAGTCGAAACTAACACAATCAAGATTTGTCTAGGGTTTTATTTTAGGGATACGATAATCGTGAATTCTCAAAGAACAACAGAAACGATTGATACCAAAGATGGTGTTCTTGATATTATTAATGAAAAGTAGATTTTGATCGTACAAGAGTTTGATCGTAGAAAAAGGTGTTTGTGCTGTGAGAGCTTTGCGTAGCGTAATTTCTAGAGCGATGTTGCTTGTCCTTCGCTTGAGCCTTGAGTCTCTTTATATATAGGTGATAAACCGCCTCTCCAGCGATATTCTCGGAAGATTTCCATTTATCTTGAAGTCGGCTCAGAATATCGCGGATTAGGATAGTTTCCTTATTTTTCGGAGTCTTTGGGAGATTTCCTGATTTGAGTCGATCCTTCTAGATTCTCTCTTATCATTTCCGGGTATATCGGAAATGATCCTTCTTGTTCGGAAATGATACCTTGCTTGGAAATGATACTTTGAAAGCGAATATTTACTAAGTCTTTACCTCTGACGAAGATGAAGACTTTACCTCGGAGAAACTTGTGCAATCGGCTCGGGTACACAGGAAGGACTGGCTCGGGCACTCTAGGATGGCTTCTTCGGGTGTCCCCGAGGCGATGGGCTCAGAAACTCCCGAGGCGACCAGGCTCGGGTACCCCCGAGGTAATTGGGCTCGGGTGCTTTAGATGTATTGTTCAAATATCCCCGAGGCGAAGGGTATGCCCGAGGCGATGGGCTAAGGGTATGCCCGAGGCGATGGGCTAAGGGTATGCCCGAGGCGATGGGCTCAGGGTATGCCCGAGGCGATGGGCTCGGGTGCTTGAAACGTATTGTTAAAGTATCCCCGAGGCGATGGGCTCGGGTATACTAAATCGATTAGATGGATATCCCGAGGTGAATGATGCGATGCCCCGAGGTGATCACTGAAAGACTCCCGAAGTGTTCTAAATCTGGCTCGGCGCTAAAGGATGGAATCCGACCCCAACAGTTAGCGCCCCAGCTCGTTAGTTTGGAGAACCGGGCGTGACGAGCTTTATGACAATTAGGCCGAGCCGTTTACTTTGAACAATTCGGTCCCTTTAAAGTTTGTGGCGATTTGAATTCCTCTGTCGTTTCATCTTCTCTTGGCGTGTGACGGTTGGGATTCCTTCTCGAGAAGTGGAAAGGTCCTTTCGCTGATTCCCGAGATTCGTGCGGATGCGAAGTATCTTATTTGATTTGTGTGTGCCCGACGCGCCTTAGACGCGGACGCGATGTTTTTATTTGGTTCGTTCGTACCCGACGCGCCTTAAGTCCCTATAAATGCTAAGTCTCCGACTCGTTCTCTCATTTCGCAACTGCAAAGGAAAATTTTCAAGGTTCGTTCTCTTCTTTCTCTGATCTTGAGTTCTTGCATTTTCTCTACTTTTTCCGTTATACTTCCGTCGTAGCGCCGCCGTCATTAGATCTAGGTTGATTTCTCCGATCTGTCGAGCTTTGTTCCTCCGATCGACTTCTTCAATCTCCCGAGCCAGAAAATGTCTCTATCTGATTCCAGAGATTCGCCCCGAGGCGACACTCATCTCCCCGTCTACAAGAGAAAGATGGTCTAGAGTTCCTCGAGCGACCCCGAGGCGGACCATCAGATCGTGTTGTACCGCGGAAGTGATGCAGAGTCGGCTTCACGGGAAGAAAACCCGAGCCGTTTCATTGTTCGGGAAGACGCGGTTGCGAATGTGGCTCGGGATCAGGATTTGCCTGATGATCCCGAGGCGATTTTGAGTAGAAGGAGGGCCCATCCACCGGCAGCTGGTGAAGCTGGAGTATCGTGCGAGCCGATGATCCACCCGAGGGGTTTTTTACCCTTTACGAGGGGTTCTTCTATCATTGCTACCTTTGGCTTCCAATCCCGAGGCCGATTTTGGCGTTTCTGTGGTCGTACAAGATTGCTTTATCCCAAATAACGACCCGAGGCTTGCGGCATCTAGTGGGGATTTTAGTCCGAAGTATTGAGACGGTCAATCTCGTCGACCTAAGCCACCTAAGGAATCTCCTAGAGATCCGGCGTATACCGGGCCCTGTTGAGAGATTTTACATATCTCCGAGGCCAAACAGGAGGGTTATCGGTGGTTTCCCAAGCAAGGATGAGAAATACACCGACCATTTCTTCTTCGTAGCCTTGAATGAGTATAGTGTCCACGAGGACTACTTAGGGAAAATTGTTGGAAAGTGGAGACAAATCGGTACTACGCCCGAAGCCGTATTTGCTGTCTTGTTTTGCTTTAACCTTTTAACTGATCATTTTTCTTGTTCATGCAGATCGGAACCCGTCGTTTCTCGAAGACATTCCCGAAGGCTTTCTAGACCTCCACGACGAACTAATAGCTCGGAAGTGCGATTGGACGAAGCACTTCTCCCAGGAAAGGATTGAGAGAGCCTTGCGTTTGTTGCACGGAGCCCCCTGCCAATCTTCTTCAGAATCATCCGATCACCGTCTAGATCACCTCATTGAAATGCAAGGAGCTGCGCAATCTTTGAGGGCGAAGAAAGCTGCCGAAAGAAAGGCGGCCGAGGAGAAAAGGGTTTGCGAGGCGACTTTCGGACCGTCAACTCCGCCTGAGGTTAACATTGATCCGCAGGTTGCCGATGGTGAAGAGGCGACTGGGGAGGTTCGGGTCGCTGCAGATTTGTCCAGGCCCGAGGCCTCTGGTGATGTTCGGCCGGATGTGGAAGTTCCCGCCGCAGTAGGGGCTATGGCGATTGTAGCTCTGGGTGCCGAGGCGAAGGCTAAGGCGAAAGGGAAGAGGCCCCGAGGTGATAGCTCGGGAGGACGCAGAAGGGAGAAGAGGAGCCGTAGCGAAGCTCCCATCTACAAGGATAAGATAGCTTTGGCTAATCTTATCGCTTCTTGTTCGGGTCCGCCGCTTTCCGCTCCCGAGGCCTTGCTGGAGGCACAAAACTACCGTGAGACCGCTGCTGGATTTCTGAAGGTATAGATTCGTTCCTTGCGTGTTTTTCTATCGTTTCCATACGTGTTTGCTGACGATTCTCGTTCTATTGCAGGCCTTCAACTCGATGAATTCCATGGTTCGAGCCTACGATTCTGGAGCTCGGAAATCCGAGCTTGCTCGTGAAAAGTCGGAGATCTCCCGAGCCGAAGCAGAGGCTAGGATTTCTGAGGCGATTGCGGCTAAACAAGAGGCCGAGGCATCGGCCAAGGCCGAGAAGGTGGAGCGGTTGAAGGCTTCGGAGGATAGCCTGCGAACTCAGAGAAAGCTCGAGGCCGAGATTGCACGCCTTCATCGGTTATTTACCGAAGAGAAGGCTCTCCGGGAGAAGGAGATTGTCAGAGAGCGGAGGGCGGCCAAAAGGGAGTTTGCCGAGAAGGTCAAGGCTATCGAGGCGAAGATGGATCAGTACGGGAAGGTGTCTACGCGCTATATGTACTTGGTGTAAGCGCGGGCCAATGCTGAGCTGATAGCCGAGTTGGAGGAAGGGAAAAAGGTAGAGGATGAGAAAGCCGAGGTCCTTCAATGGACGACTGAATATGGAGACGCCGAGGATGAGTACGTCCGTCTCGGGACCGAGCTGCGAGAGGACTTGAAGCTTCCTCCGGTTTCCCTGGACTCTGTCGACGATAGCTTCGGGAATCGTTCGATAGAGGGTACCGCGGCTGCGATAGGTGTTGCCGACCAGTCGGGTTCGAACCGAGGTACCGAGGTAGCTCAAGTTTCGCCGGTTAATCAAGACTCGATCTGATCCCGAGATGTCTTTTTATTCTCTTTTTTGTAAGACATGTCTGGACGGCTTTATCCCTCGAATATTATGTCAAGTATTTTTCTTAAACATTTTTCCGAACTGAATTCGAAACTAATGTCAAATATTTGGTTTTATCTTTCGAGCCGAGAGCGAAAAGAATCATGCACCGGTGTTAAGTTAACCGAGTTTAAGAATTGCTCGTTGAGAAGTTAAATCCAAATGTCTTAACTTTCGAGCCGAAAGTGAAATGAATCGTGCACCAGTGTTAGGATAACTGGGTTTTGGTTAAGTAGGACTAATCTTTATCGGTTGCGACCCGAGCTGATATAGTCGAAGCCAGTGCTTAGAAGCGAACTGGGGTACCAGTGTCAAAGTCGACTGGGTTTTCCGAAGACAATTTCTTTATGGCAAGATATCTCCGACCGAATCGTCTCGACTGTTTATATAGCGCGCTGTAACCGAGGCGGTGAAAAGAGCTTTTTCTGTCCGAGGACGTGGCCATCGTCCGAACGAACTTTTAGCTTTATAGGTCGATAAGATGACCGTTAAAATCTCCGAGGTGGATAAGATTGATAAACCAAAGGGTAAAAACTTAGAGAATTTCAAAAATTTAGTGGGAGTATATAAGTATACGGACCCACTCCCCCCCTTTTTTAATTAGGGGGGGTAGCTGAACTCGTCCGAGGACGAGCTGCCTACGTACCCTTTTCAGAGATCAAGCCACCCCGTAGTTCAAGTACATGCGTACCTTTGGTTTTTAGCGGTAATATTTCCTTAGATGCATTGCGTTCCAGGATCTAGGTACCGCTTTGCCGTTCATGTTGATGAGTTCGTAGACGCCGGGACGGATTACCTTTGCGATCGTGTAAGGTCCCTCCCAATTCGTACCGAGCTTACCTGCGTTCTGCTCGGCGGTATTTTGGAAAACTTTGCGCAGTACGAGCTCTCCTTCGTGGAAGCGGCGATGCTTCACGTGAGAATTGTAGTACCGAGCCGTTGCATTCTGATAGTTCTGCATACGGATCAAAGCTGAATCTCTTCTCTCGTCAATTAAGTCCAGCTCGTCCAGCATCATCTGAGTGTTGGAACTTTCCTGTTCGGGGAGAAAACGTCTTCTCAGTCCCGGGATCTCGGCTTCGGTGGGGATCACACACTCCGTGCCGTAGACAAGGGCAAAAGGTGTTTCTCCCGTAGCCCGCCGCGGGGTGGTTCTGTGCGACCATAATACTCCTTCCAATTCGTCGGCCCAGCGGCCTTTCTTTGCGTCGAGGCGCTTCTTTATTCCGTCGAGAATCGTCTTGTTTGCCGCCTCGGCCTGTCCATTTCCCTGAGGGTACCGAGGCATAGACTTGCTGAGGCGAATTCCCCATTTCTCGCAGAATCCTTCGAACCGAGCCGAAATAAACTGCGATCCGTTGTCTGTAACGATCTCGTAAGGTATCCCGTGGCGGCATATGATATTCTTCCAGACGAAGTTCTCGACCTGCGCATCTTTGATGCTGGCGTAAGAGTCCGCCTCGATCCATTTGGAGAAATAGTCTGTCAGTACGAGGACGAGTTTCTTCTGCTTGGAGTTGTGTAGAGGTCCGATGATGTCCATGGACCATCGCATGAATGGATAAGGCGAAGTTATAGAAGAGAGGAGCTCGGCGGGTTGATGAATGGTTGGTGCGTGCCTCTGGCATTTATCACATCGTTGAGAAAATTTCTCGCAGTCTTTGACCATCGTCGGCCAAAAATATCCGTGGCGTTTGATCTTTATAGCCAGAGCTCTTCCGCCAGAATGGTTTCCACAAGATCCGCCGTGAATTTCTTCCATGACTCTCCGAGCTTCATTTCCTTCGACACAGATAAGGAGAGGACCAGAAAATCGCCATTTAAAGAGCTCTCCGTCGATCAGAGTATACCGAGCCGCTTTGGCCTTAAGCTTCCGAGCTGCCCACTTTTCAGTAGGAACTTCTCCATCGGCAATGTAGCTTCGGATGGCTCCGATCCATTTGGCGTCGCTTCCGTATTCGGGCTCGGTTGCGTCCGTAGTTTGCTGGTCTAGCTGTTCGATGTCCATTTCTTCCAGTTCTTCTGTCTCCCGAGCTGTTAGGACTTGATCCTTGCTATTATCTTCAATGCTCGGCTTTTCGATGAACTCAACCGGTATGATCCTCTTCAGATTTGGGTCGGAGGTTGAAGCTAGAGCTGCTAAGGCATCGGCCGATGTGTTCTCACCTCGTGGGATTCTGGTTAACTCAAACTCTCCGAACTGTTTCGCCAAGTCTTGCGTGAGAGCAAGATACGCTTCCATTCGTTCGTCGCGAGCCGCGTATTCTCCATTGAATTGATTAGCCACGAGCTGGGAGTCGCAAAAGGCTCGCAGCTTGTTGATCTTAAGTCCCCGAGCCAGCTTAAGTCCTGCTATCAGCGCTTCGTACTCAGCCACGTTGTTAGTCGCGTCGAAATTTAGCCGAAAGGATTGTTCAAAAATTTCACCCTCTGGTGATGCGAGGTGGATTCCGACGCCAGAACCTTGTTTTGAGGACGAGCCGTCGACGTGGAGGATCCAAACAGCGTTGGGTGACTCTTCTCGGACGTTCTCTGTTGGCAGCTCGATGATGAAATCGGCAGGACTTGAGATTTCGCGCATGTTTTGTTTCTGTATTCGATGTCATACTCGCTGAGTTCTACTGCCCACTTGGCCAAGCGTCCCGATTGGCTCGGACTGTGCAGGATGGTTCGGAGTGATACGGGCGCCATGACGACAATTGAGTGAGACTGAAAATATGGCCGTAGCTTCCGAGCTGACATTACTACGGCGAGGGCGAGCTTTTCAGTTTGCGGGTAGCGTGTTTCCGCGTCGGTGAAAGTTTGCGAGACATAAAATATCGGCTTCTGCTCCCCTCTGTCTTCCCTGACTATGACTCCACTTATAGCCGTATCAGAGACTGCGATGTACAGGAATAACGGCTCGCCCGGGACTGGTTTCGCTAAAACCGGTGGATTGGCCAAATACTTCTTTAGTTCCTGGAAAGCTTCTTCGCAGCGATCGGTCCATTCGAATTTCTTGTTCCCGCGCAGAGTATCGTAGAAAGCCAGGCATTTGTCAGTGGATCGCGAGATGAATCGGTTCAAGGCTGCGACTCTCCCGGTGAGACGTTGGACTTCGCGCTTGTTCTGCGGTGAGGGCATGTTTAGTAGAGCATCGATCTGCTTCGGGTTTGCCTCGATGCCTCGGTGAGTTACGAGATATCCCAAGAATTCTCCAGACTTTACCGCGAAACGACATTTTGCCGGGTTAAGCTTCATGTTGTGCTTGTTGAGCTGACGAAAACAGTCGCGTAGATGGGCTATGTGATCGCTTTCTTCAAGGGGTTTGACTAACATGTCGTCGATATAAACTTCCATCGTCTTCCCGAGCTGTTCGGAGAACATCCTGTTGACGAGTCGCTGATACGTCGCGCCGGCGTTCTTGAGTCCGAAGGGCATGACTTTGTAACAGTAGATACCTCGGTCTGTGATGAATGCTGTCTTCTCGCGATCGTCGGGGTGCATGAGAATCTGATTGTATCCTGCGAAAGCATCCATGAACGATAGCAACTTATTTCCCGCAGTTGCTTCCACTAGACGATCGATATGTGGGAGCGGAAAACTATCTTTAGGGCAAGCTTTGTTCAGATCGGTGAAATCGACGCAGACTCTCCACTTGCCGTTCTTCTTTTTAACCACGACAGGATTTGCTAACCAGTCCGGATATCTTGCTTCAGAGATCGAGCCGATCTTCAGGAGCTTTACTACTTCAGCGTTCACTGCATCTGCGCGATCCCGACCCAATTTTCTTCGCTTCTGCTTGATGGGTTTGAAAGATGGGTCAACATTCAGCTCGTGGCAGATTACGTCGATGCTTACCCCAGGTAGATCTTCAGCCGACCAGGCGAAGGTGTCGATGTTCTCTTTGAGGAATGAGATGAGCTCGGTCTTGATCTCCTCGGTTAAGTCGCTACCAATTTCCACGCATCGTTCAGGCCGTTCGTCGTCGAGGCTAATGGAGATTACGGGATCCGAGGTAGGCTTCTTCTCCTCGCGCGCCTCCTCGATCTGTAATTGCTATAACTGTTTAGATATAGCCTTCTCTTCACTCCGGCCAAGTTTTGATTTCTTGTGATCCGTTTCAGCCTTTATTTCAGTGACAGGGTTTCGGAGTTTGTGTGCTGCCATGAAACACATCCGAGAATTTTTCTGACTGCCCCATATCGTTTTCACGCCATTAGGGGTCGGGAACTTGACACACAGATGATATGTTGATGCGACAGCTCGCATTAGATTTAACCACGGGGTTCCCATTATGACGTTGTAGATGGTAGGTCGATCGGTGACTGAGAAGTTGACTATCTTTGTTACCCCGCCGGCTTGGACTGGTAGTTGGATGGTTCCAAGCGTCATCAAAGTTTCCCCTGAAAATCCGAGGACAGGCCTCGGGGTCGGAACCACCTGTGACATGTCGATGTTCATTCGTTGGAGCGTTTCGCGAAAGATCACGTCAATGGTGCTGCCGGTGTCAATTAATACTCGGTAAATATCGTGGTCTCCTATTGCTAATGTGACGACGATTGGATCGTTATGAGGCATATCGAGCCCGTTTGTCTCGCTTTCTTCGAATGTGATCACGTCGTTAGGTCGATCGAAGCGTCTTGTCCAGTTGCTAGGCGTCTCGGCTCGGCGTTGATAAGCTTTGATTGCCGCTACGGTGTCAGGACAGTAAGGTGATCCACCCATTATGGTAAGAACCTTCTGCCGCGTACCATCTCGGTCTTCGTCTTCCGACCCCCGGGTTCTTTTCTGAGACTCCTGGTTCCTTGGTTCAGGGTCTCTTCCTGGGTTGGTCTGCTCGGGCTCTGGTTCTGGCTCGAGGTCCTTAAGGGTTACGTTTGTCCCGAGCTCTCCGGCTAGGAATTTGGTTGCTAACTTGGCTCCGAGGCTTCGGCATCTCGAGGTATGATGGCCGAAAATTTTGTTGTGTTCGCAATATTCTTGATCATTGCTCGGTGGCTGATCCCTCGTCCAAGTGAAGGACTCTCTTCCACGCCCACGGCCTCGGCCTCTGCCGCGGCCACGG